CGCTTGGGAACCCTGCAGCCCAATGGTATCAATGTGGATTTCACAAGCTTCAAAATCTCCCCTCCCTCTACCGCATCCCAAAACCAGTCCAGCTCGTCCCTACCTCCCTAACCTGTTCTTCCTCCCACCTATCCCCTCCTCCCACCTCAAGCTGCACCCCCATCTCCTACAGACTAACCTCATCCCGTCCCCTTGACCTGTCCGTCCTCCCTGGACTGACCTATCCCCTCCCTAACTCCCCACCTACACTCACCTTTACTGGCTCCATCCCTGCCTCTTCGACCTGTTTGTTTCCTCTCCACTTATCCTCTCCTCTATCCATCTTCTATCCGCCTCCCACTCTCTCCCTATTTATTTCAGAACCCCCTTCCCCTCCCCCTTTTCTGATGAAGGGTCTAGGCCCGAAATGTCAGCCTTTCTGCTCCTATGATGCTGCTTGGCCTGCTGTGTTCATCCAGTTCAGTATCTTCATGTTTTTCACATAATCCATAAATAGGTAATTCACCTATTGTTTTTAATCTACAACTGGCTTAGCTAACTGACCTTTTTCCATTTCAGTATATTATCGCTCCAAAGTTTGTACAACATATTTATCTACTAAACTACCTGAATCTGTTCCATTTTATTTTTACACACCATACATTGAGACCTGCATCTCATGGTCATTTCACAAACTAGCAGTTTTTATTGTTCTAAATTTCTTTGAAGCCACAGAATTTTTCCAGCTGTTTCAACTCTTTTGCCTTTTATTTTCAGATATGAGTCACCTTGGACAGAAAGTTGTGGATTCATGTCTTATGGCATGTTCCAGGCTAATATTTTACCACAGTACTGAAGAGGTGCCTCTTTTGAATGAGATATTAAACTAAGGCCTCGTCTATGCTCTCAGTTGGATATCACAGATTACCTAGTAATACTTCACAACAAGAGTAGGGAGGTTCTACCAAGTGCTGTGGCCAATATCTCAACCAACACCTTAAATAGATGATCTGCACAATTTCACTTCTGTTTGCTAGGTATAAATTGTTCGTTGTATTTGATGCGTTGAAATATGACTGCATTACAATTACCTTATTGACTGTAATGCACTTTAGGACATCCTGACATTGTGAAAGATGCTTTATAAATCCAAGCTTTCTTTCTGCTATATTACTAAATTCACATCCTGGCTATTTAAAAAAAAAACATCCCACTGCCTAGCCCCCATTCCCCTTTCATTTTCTCTTTATTTAATGCCCAATCAATGTTTCAGTATGCTGGCCAAGCATCAAGGACTGACTGTAAACTTGACAATAAAATTTTAGACACTTAACCTGTAACTTTCCTTTAAGATAATTTGAAATGTAATTGAATATTGCTGAAGATAGAAGTATTTATTTAGCTAGGCAAATACTAATTCACACTGGGAAGACGTACTGTGAATGGTGGTGTATATGGTAAAGCTGAAGGATCTATCCTTACTTTGTAAAGCATTGCATGAGAAAAAGATATTGCAGTCATGACCAGGTTTTTTGGAGAAGTTGAGGTCTTCAGTTAAAACCATTAATGATTATATTAAAGAATAATATTCTTCATGCCTAGTTATTAATCATGTGCAGGAATTTCCTCCTATTAAATTGGAAGTCTTATGTCATTGTTTTTGCTCCTACTCTGAACTTTGCTTCCTAACTACTGACTCTGCTCCCTAGTCATTGAGTCTGTTTTTGTGGCAACAGTCTGAGACCTAATAAATCTGTTCACAAACTGGGTGTATTATTTGACCCTGAAATAAGCTTCCAGCCATATATTTATGTCATGACTAAGACCATCTATTGCCATTGTCTGACTTTGACCCTGTCGCAGCTCATGTGCAACTGAAACCCTCACTCATAGCCTTGTTACCTGTACAGTTGACTATTTCACGCATTCTTAGCTGGCCTTCAGATTCTGCCCTCTGAAAGCACGAGGTCATCCAAAATTTTGCTGCTTGTGTCTAAAGACCATTAGATAAAGGAGCAGAATTAGGCCATTCAGCTCATTGAGTCTGCTCCAGCATTCAATTAGATCATGACTGACCTGATAATCCTCGGCTCCAATTTTTTGCCTTTTCCGGATAACCTTTGATTCCCATACATTAGAGATCTGTCTATCTCACTCCTGAATATATTGAACAAACCACCCTCAACATTTGAAAGGCATCTGGATGGGTACATGAATAGGAAGGGTTTAAAGGGATATGTGCCAAATGCTGACAAATGGAGCTAGGTCAGATTGGGATGTTTCGTTGGCAGGGATGAGTTGGACCAAAGTATGACTCTATATAACAGCACTCTGTGGTAAATAATTCCACAGATTCACTAATCTCTGACAGAAGAAATTCCTCATCATTTTTGTCTTAAATGGCCAACCACTTATTCTGGGATTATGCCCACTGGTTCTAGACTCTCCTACAAAGAGAAACAACGTTTCCATTTCTGCCCTTTCAATTCTCCTAAGAATCTTATTTGTTTCAATAAGGATGTCTCTCATTTTTCTAAGTTAATTTAAAACTCAAAACTTGTCAATTGTACATTAATCCCGCAGAGAGCAGAAACGAAGATTAGTTTCTCAGGCCCCATCACTAGGTGATTGTTTTAAAAAAAGATTATTAATGATAAAACGAAGGTGTCACTTTTTGTTAAGTTTGTTACTATGTGATGGCCCAAATGACAACTTGAGTGACACTGACATTGCAAAATCATGACAGCATTGGGGGACAGCCTGACCCCTGAGTCGTCAGACAGTGAATTCCAATAATATTCGTTTTTTTTAACATGTATAACTGAGGACGCAGTTATCAATAATAACTGTGTGCCGCCCCAAACAATTATGTCACATCAACAGAGGCGCATAAAATTTCTACAAATTTCTACTTGCATTTCTGTTCTGAGTAGAATACATAAACCCTCTAAAACGCATGTAGTAATTGCTAACAAATACACAGATTGGTTAATTTGTATTTAAAGCTTTGCGCTTAAATCCAACAGTACTATAGATGTCCTTATTAAACGATTGGGCAGTTTTAAATTTACTGTTAGATTAGTTTGTCCCCAGAATCATTGAAAGCAACAGCCTGCTCGGAAAGGGTTAAATGAAGCTTGGAGAAGTTTCCCAACTCTTATCTGAATCGCTGTATCATCACATTTGAAGGTAAACTGAAGGGAATCAAGCAGAACAGAATCCCATAGGAAGAATGGCCTGTTCGGTCTCAGGACTTAGATGTGTATCCATTTGTTTTTGACAGGGATCTGCGCATTTTTAAAAATGATTTGTGTTTGTGATCATGCACATGGATGTGTGTGTTGCAATGAGCTGACGCAACATGAGCCATAGGATGGGGCATATTCGTTTGTTTACGTTGACACCCACGCCGGTGAAAACGTATTTCAACCCTGTTATGGTGCTGAGTCTTTCTTTTCTTCCCTGCTGTCAATGGCTAAGTCCATGGCTTTGAAAGCTCCGTCACAATATCAAATATAGGGAGATCCCGACAGCAGATGATGATGTTTGGAATCATTGCAGTTGGAGCGAAAGGTAGTTTAGAATTAAGTCCTTTTGTTTTTGTTTGTCAGTTTTAATATCAACGAAATAGCAAGGCCGTATTGTTCATCCGTACTATTTACTATTAAACTTTTTGCAAAACTGACATTCCATGCTTCACAGTTGTTTAAATGTAAACTATCCCTGTGATGTTTGACTTATGAATTATGTATACTTTCTATGACAAGGGTAGAAAGTAAAGGGAGTGTCACGGGAGTGTAAGGTGGGGGACGAAGAGGCCACAACCCTTTATGTGATGAGAAAACATCCTCTGTAACGGGATCATAGAATACTTACAGTACAGAAGGATTGGCCCAACCTCGCTCGTCTTTTGATGGGTAAAATCTCTATGTAACTTCCCCATTCCATAGCTATTTATGTAAAGTCGGTTTTGATCAGCACCAGTTCTAGTCTCCTACATTTACTATAACGAAGATTTTCCTGATATCTATAACGCTGTGAATAGGAGCAAATGCATTATCAGGAAAATTACCCTTTAAATATTTTCATAATTGACGTATGTCTTTTTTTTTCCTTTGGGTATTTGAATAACATGGGTTATCAACACCCATGGCATAATTTTGAAAGACAGCATATGAGTAATCCTGGCCAATATTTATTTCTCATTCAATATCATATAACATATTACCTGGTCATTATCACATTGCTTGTGGGAGTTTTATGATTTTTGATTTGAGTTTATTGAGTTTCCTACAGTGCAACAATAACTACATTTCAGAAATGTTTGTCTAAAAAACACTGTTAGACATCAGGTTGTTATGAAAAGCCTTATATAAATACAAGTGTAAAAATCATTTTTATTTTGCTGTATTTTGATTGTGGACTGAAATGGTGTCCAAAATCTTACCAGACCAAGGTCAGGCTAATCTGCCTGTAATTTCCAGTCTTTTGCCTTACTCCCTTCTTAAACAGAGAGTTATATTAGTGATTTTCCAGTCCTCTGGGACCCTCCCTGACTCCAGTGATTCCTGAAAGATCACCACGAAAGCTGTCATAGTCTCTTCAGCTATCTCCATCTGGTCCAGGTGATTTATCCACCTTCAGACCTTTCAGTTTTATTTACACTTTATCCTTGGTGATGGCCACCATACTCACCTCTTGATTTTTTTATTACTCGTATCTTCCACCGTGAAAACTGACACAAAGTACTTATTCAGTTCCTCAGCCATTTCTTTGTTCCCCATTGCTACTTCTGTGTCACTTTCCAGTGGCCCAATGTCCACTTTTGCCTCTCTTTAGCCCTTTATATATCTGAAGAAACTCTTGCAATCTTCTTTTATATTACTGGCTAACTTACCATCATATTCAATCTTCTCCCTCCTTATTTCTTTATTCATTGTCGTCTGTTGGCCTTTGTAAACTTCCCAATCCTCTGGCTTCCCACTTCCCTTCATCGCATTATATGCTTTCTCTTTTGTTAGAATTCTTTCAGGATGTAACGAACAGATTAGACCAAGGAGAGCCAATGGATGTTAGAAGGCCTTTGACAAGGTGCTGCTGAGTAAGATAAGGGCCCATGGTGTTAGAGGCAAAGTACATGCATGGAAAGAAGATTGGCTGTCTGGCAGAGAGCAGAGAGTGGGGATAAAAGTGTCAGTGTTGGGACCACAACTTTTCACTTATACATTAATGATCTAGATGAAGGAATTGACGGTGTTCTGGCTAAGTTTGCAGATGATACAAAGATGGGTAGAGGGATAGGTAGTATTGAGGTGTGGAGGCTGCTGAAGGATTTGGACAGGTTAGGAGAGTGAGCAAAGAAGTGGCAGATGGAATACAATGTGGAAAAGTGTGAGCTCATGTACTTTGGTAGGAAGAATGGAGGCATAGACTATTTTCTAAATGGGGAGAAAATTCTGAAATCTGATGTGTAAAGGGACGTGGGAGTTGTGGTCCAGAATTCTCTTCAGGTAAACTTGCAGATTGAGTCAGTAGTTAGGAAGGCAAATACAATGTTGGCATTTATTTTGAGAGGGCTAGAATATAAAAGCAGGGATGTACTTCTGAGGCTTTATAAAGCTCTGGTCAGACCACATTGAGAGTACAGTGAGCAATTTTGGACCCCACACCTCAGGAAGGATGTATTGGCCCTGGTGTGGGTCCAGAGGAGGTTCATGAGAATGGTCCCAGGAATGAAAGGCTTAACATATGAGGAACATTTCAGAACTCTAGGTCGATACTCAATAGAGTTTAGAAGGATGAGGGGGGATCTAATTGAAACTTACAGAATACTGAATGGCCTGGACATAGTGGACATTGGAAGGATGTTTCCATTGGTAGTACAGACTAGGACCGGCGGGCACAGCCTTGGAGTAAAGGGAAGACCTTTTAGAACGGCGATAAGGAGAAACTTGTTCAGCCGGAGAGTGGTGAATCTATGGAATTCATTGCTATAGAAGGCTGTGGAAGCCAGGTCATTGAGTATATTTAAGACAGAGAGAGATAGGTTCTTGATTGTCAAGGGGATCAAGGGTTACAGAGAGAAAGCAGGAGAATGGGGTTGAGAAACTTATCAGACATGATTGAATGGCGGAGCAGAACCAATGGGCCGAATGGCCTAATTTCCACTCCTATGTCTTACGGTCTTATGTGAAGCCTTGATTCTTAATTATACCAGTTCAGAGTGCAAGAGCTAGTGACACCAGCTACTAGTGAGAGGCAGCGTGCATAGTGGTGTCACCTTTTTACAAGAAAGTCAGCCACAGACTACACCAAGCAGGTACACTGAACAGGACAGCAGTGCATCTTCCCCACTGGGATCAAGGTCCCTGGGGATATTTGCCCTGCCTGCTGAGAGCTGTTGCCAACTTCTGTGCTCAACAGTGAAGCATTGGCTGGTGCCAGAATTCCACCCAGAGATTTTGACTGAGGAAGGCTCCAGTGGTGGTACAGAATCACAGGGTGGAGGTATTTGGGAGGGGTGGAGGGAGTCAGTAGTAGAAAGATGGCTTTTGGCAACATCCTTCTACCCATCTTTCCTGATGTTTGGCCTCTCAGGCACTGAGTACCACTGAATAAAGAACCATCACTTGGGTGCTCCAGAAGTAATAATGCCAGGCTTTGATTGTCACGCTGGCTGTATGACCAAGCCCCTGCTTGCAGATGGGTGGCAGGATGACGCTCTCAACTGGGCATTAGTTGCAAATGTAAGGGCCTTAATTGTTGCTTTCATGGGAAGTCTGGCCAGGAGCTTTCCATGGATTTAATCGGTGTGAAGGTATGAAGGTAGTGAGGTTCCCAACCATCACAGACCAGCCTAATTAAATGCCTGCTGCCCTGAAACTCTCCACAGGGAAGGGTACAAAGTTACAATCAATGTTTCTAAGTCTGTGGTGGGGCGTCATTTGCCTTCTGCCTCAATACTATCCTTCCAATTCCTGCTTAAGGTTAAAAATCAAGGTTTAAGACATTTTAAGAAAGAATATATAGAACTTAACGTTGGGGCCCCGAGATTCAAAACGAACTGAAGACATGCTCTGAGTGCTTCAATCTTTTGTTGTTCATAGCCTGCCATGTTTTAGTGCCTGCAACCAAACTTCTAGCCATAGCAACAACATCTTGTGAACTGATCCATAAGCCAGCATGTACCCCACTGAGAACATTTTCTGTAAGTCCGACATTTAGCAAAAAGTATGAAGACTGTGATAAAGGTAATCCATGGAACAAAAAGGTAGGGCAGCACTTTTACATTTTACCTTTTGTTAGTACAACCTTGATACATAAAGGTATCTGGTTTTTAATGTTCTTCAATTGTTAGTCTTATTTTACGCTGAAATTTCAAGCAATTCAACTAGAAATATCCCACAAAATAGGACTTTCCTTTTCTTACACTACTAAGCTGTGTTGCTATATAGAACTTATCACATGGTCTGAGTTTGTAGTGAATATCCATGCAGACAGTAATCCTAACTGTTGTGTCCATTCTGTGTCCCTATCATTTTATCTCAATCCCCATTTTCTTCAATTGTCCTATTAACTGTGGTAAGACCAGGCATACACTTTGTAAGCAACATTAGTAGGCTTTATTAAACATAACGTCATACAAGGGCTGGTAATTCCATCTCAGATTCTCTCCCCTCTGAGCTACTTGTCAGGATCACATTCCCTTTGTAACTCTTGTTTAAATCTACCCCAACAGCATGAGCCAATGTCCCCACAAGGATGTTGATCCTATTTCTATTCAGAAATAAAAGTCTAACTTGTACAGGTCCCACCTCTCCCAGAAACGGTGCCAATATTTCATGAATTTAAAGCCCTCCCTCCTGCCCCATCTCTCTGCTATACATTCATCTGCTCTGTCAATCTATTCCTGACCTCACTACTGCATTGCACCAAGAGTAATGTGGAGAATACTATTTTTGACATCTTGATTTCCTTCTTAATTCATTAAAGTTTGCTTTCAGGACCTTATTTCTCTTTCTTCCTGTCAGTGGTCCCACGTGGACCATGACCACTGGCTGTTCACTCTCAAACTACAGATGCCCTGCAGCTGTTCTGTGACATCAGAACACAAGAACATGAGAAATAGAAGCAGGAGTAGGCCATCTGGCCCCTCGAGCCTGCTCTGGTATTCAATAAGATCATGGCTGATCTTTTTGTGAACTCAGCTCCACTTACCTGCCCACTCATAATCTTTAATTCCCTTACTGTTCAAAAATCTATCTGTCTTTGCCTTAAAAACATTAAATGAGGTAGGCTCAACTGCTTCACTGGGCAGGGAATTCCACAGATTCACAACCCTTTGGGTGAAGAAATACCTCTTCAACTCAGTCCTAAATCTGATATTCCTTATTTGAGCAGCTCTGCCCCCTAGTTCTAGTTTCACCCACCAGGGGAAGTAACCACACTGCTTCTATCTTGTCTATTCCCTTCATAATTTTATATGTTTCTATAAGATCCCCTGCTCATTCTTCTAAATTCGAATGAGTATAGTCCCAGTCTACTCAATCTCTCCTCATAAGGCAATTCTTTCAACTCCAGAATCAAACTAGTGAACCTGCTCTGCACCCCCTCCAGTGCTAGTATATCTTTTCTCAAGTAAGGAGACCAAAACTGCACACAGTACTCCAGGTCTGGCTTTGCCAGTACCCTTTACAGCTGCAGCATAACCTCCCTGTTATTAAGCTCCATCCCTCTAGCAATGAAGGACAATATTCCATTTGCCTTCTTAATTACCTACTGTACCTGCAAACCAACTTTTTGTGATTCATGCACAAGGACTCCCAGGTCCCTCTGCACACCAGCATGCTGCAATTTTTCACCATTTAAGTAATAGCCCATTTTGTTGTTATGCCTCCCAAAATGGATGACCTCACATTTACCAGCATTGTACTTCATCTGCCAGACCCGTGCCCACTCAATTAACCCATCTATATCTCTCTGCAGATCTTCAGTGTCCTCTGCTTTGCTCTATCACTCATCTTAGTGTCATCTGTGAACTTTGATACACTGCATGAGGTCCCCAACTCCAAATCATCAATGTAAATTGGAAGCAATTGCAGTCCCAACTCTGATCTCTGAGGCACACCACTAGCCACTGATCGCCAACCAGAAAACACCGATTTATCCCCACTCTTTGCTTTCTGTTAGTTAACTGATCTTCTATCCATGCTAATAGATTACCCATAATGCTGTGCACCTTTATTTTAACTTATGCCACACCTTTAGTGCAGCACCTTGGCGCATGCCTTCTGTACATCCTTGACCTTGGCACTCGGGAGGCAACATACCATCATGGAGTCACACCTATGACCACTAAAGCGCCTGTCTACATTTTTTTTATTCACTAACAGGATGAGGGTGTTGCTGGCTAGGCAGCATTTATTGCCCATCCCTAATTGCCCAGAGGGCAGTTCAGAGTCAACCACATTGCTGTGGGTCTGGAGTCACATGTAGGCCAGACCAGGCAAGGATGGTAATTTCCTTCCCTAAAGGACATTAGTACCAGATGGGTTTTTCTGACAATTGACAATGGATTCATGGTCATCTTTAGATTCTTAATTCCAGATATGTTATTGAATTCAAATTCCATCATCTGCCATGGCAGAATTCGAACCCAGGTCCCTAGAACATTATCTGGATTAATACTCCAGTGATAATACCACCAGGCTATCACTTCTATCATTAACAAATCCCCCGCCTCTTGTCATTATCAAATCCCCTGCCTCTTTTGTCATTCCATACTTTTTTTTTACATTCACCAGATGCGGGTCTGGAGTCATTTTTAGGCCACACCAGGTAAGAATGGCAGTTTCCTTCCATCTTCTCCCTTTCTCAACTCTCCCCTCGTGAGCAGCTGGACCACCCATTGTTCCGTGCCCTTTGCTGGCTCCAGACAGAAACCATCAGTTCTACTGGTTTTGAAGGTTGAAAAATGGTTTGCGACAAAGAAGCGCTCAGGGGATTCTCTCACTACCTTCGTGGTCTCCTTCTTGTGGTCACCCATTCCCCCTTTGCATGCACTTCCTTAAGCTACATTGTGAAATGTGACATCCATAAACCTGTCAGCCTCATGAATACACCATAGTGTCACGAGCTGCAAAGCCTGGAGATTGAGGTGTTCCAGCCAGACACATAGTCATCCAGACTGCCAGGAGTGTCCAATATTTTCCACATGAGCAGGATGTTAAATCACAGGCCTGACCTCCCCGGATGTATTGTAGTTAAATAGACTTGGACCCTTGGTTTAATATACCCTACACTCTACTTAACTATTAACATGAACAGTATTACTTGTGTTTATATCAGACAAACAAGCAGAATCCTTTACTTTATCAAATGAAGAAACTTAATTTTGAAGTTCTAAGATATTCAGTGTCTACTTAAAGTTTTCAAGCTGTACTTACAGCCCCAGCACAAGAAGCAAGAAAGAAATGCCCACAAATAGCTACCTGCACTCTTATAACATCACATTTCAATTCTGTTAAAACAGTTTTACCATTGGTCTGTCTGCTCTAAGATCCTTCCCTCTCGCTGCTCCTTTAAACTTTACCACCACTGATCCCATGTCCCACACAGCTCTGCCCCTGGTCGGTCTGTTTTGGAAGCTTTCCATTTTTGATGTCATTGCTCCCAAGTCCGAGCTCAGGCACTTGTCTTCTCCTGGGATCCCTCTACTGTTGCTGCTCCTTTGAACCTAGCTACCACCACTCCTAAGTCACGCATAGCTCTGCCAGTGGTTTACCTGTTTCTGGTACCTTTCTCTTCTTGCTGCTTCATTTAACATTGCTGGGACCACATTCGAATCGCACACAAGTCTGTTGCCAGTTTGTCTCCAGGATATTTCTGCTCTTGCTGCCACTCCTGAGTCCCACAGAGATCTGCTTCCGAACTGTCTGCTTTTTCGGCCTACCACACTATTGCTGCTCCTTTTAACCCTGTTGCCTCTGCTCCCGAGCCCCACATAGGTCCACCACTGGTCTGTCTGCTTCTGGGACCTTTTTGTTCCCACTGCTCCTATTACCTCACTGCTGCCACTTCAGAGTCCCACATGAATCTGCCACAGCTCTGATTCTGAGTCCTCACCTTACCAGCTCCTCTTGGTGATGCAGACTGCATGTCTTACAATTCTCCTCACCTTGCTCACTCCTCTGTACAAAACGATAGGTGAAATTACTGAATCAATTGAGAAGAAAAGCAGAGAGATTAGGGGCTTCTGTATATTGTGAATGTGTGGAATAAACATAACTGAATGAAAGTGAGCAGGCAATGAATATAAAGGGAAGTCCTGACTGTGTTTGAAATTATATGATGATGGGGAAAGAAATGTTCAAACTGGTACTGAGAAGAGACAGAAAGGAGTGTTATCCTGTGTTGCTGGGACAGCTGGTGATACAAAGAACTATACCCTCATCCTGCCTTGCAGCTCTGACAAAGCTGTTGAACTGTGTTGGACATGAAACTCAGGTCCTGCAACAATGTTGTCGGCAATGACCCTGTCGGTTGACTTTCACCATGCCCTTCTGCTTATCTGTTCTGACATTAGGAAGCATTCTTCCAGTACAAAGTGGAAGCGGGGTAGCAGCCACCGTTTATGAGGTAAATTCCGTCTCTAAATTGTCCTTTGATATAAAATGGGAGGATCACTTCCAACGTCAACATGACGGCAGATCATTAATCAAAGAGAAATGAGACCCTGGATGTTAAAATTACTAGTGCCACCCAGCTGCCTTACCCTGTGCTCAACCGATTCATATTCTGAGTTAAAATTGGAGTTACTTTGTGTTTTAATTTATTTTAACAGGATACTCATAAAAATGGAATGAATGTAACATATCAACAGATAAAAAAGTCTTTTGGGAAGAGAAACGAGACATTATGCTGTCCAAAGTGTGGAAGTCAAAGTACGTTCATGGAGGCCATCACCTGTAAGTCCAGGATAAGTAGTTTATATTGTTAGGCCTACAATGCTATCACTGTTGGAGCTAGGAGTCTTCAGCGCAGCTAACTGCAAACACTGTGTAGGATCTTGTAAAAGCAAGTGTAATTTTTACAGATGCGAATCTAATGGTTCTATATAGTGTTCATTGCATGTTGGATGTGCACCACACACCATATTATTATTCCTAATGCATATGATCTTGTAAAAATACTAATAATGCCATGGATAAAATATCCATGAATAAAATAACTTTTAAGAAAAAAAAATAATACTTTTATTGTCTTTGTCAATATTTATCCCTTAATCAGTGTCTTAAAAAAAACATGATATCATTTATTTCATTGCTATTTGTACAAGCTTACCATGAGCAAATTGGCTGGGACATTCTGTCCACGCCAAGACTTTTCATCTCTGGCCCTTCTGCAAGTCGGTCTTCTCAGTCCCTCTGCTTCTTTCACCTAGCCCTAGCCAATCCTTTCCTAGCCCTATGACATATTATGACCAATCATAACTGCAGTTATCTAGCTGTATGTCCTCACCCTTTTTAAAGAAAGGTGCAAAACATTAATGGAGCTGGTACAAGGGACATGTAGCAGAGAGTTAAGGCATAAGAGAGATCTTCAGAAAGAGGGAGAGAAAAATAGAGGGAGAAGGAGGAAGGGAGAGATATAAAAATTTAGAAACAAAATGGAGAGAAGCATTTGGCAACAATGGAACATGTGAGGGTTGTGCTGAGAGAAAAAGTGGAAGACTGTTGGAAAGACACATTTCAATATTTTCTGATTCAACTTTTTAGTTTTGTTGAAGAGTCAGTGGACTCGAAGCATTAGCTTTGTTTTTCTCTCTGTGGCTCAGTGGTTAGCCTAGCTGCCTCACAGCACCAAGGCCCCAGGTTCGATTCCACCCTTGGGTGACAGTGTGTGTGGAGTTTGCACATTCTCCTTGTGTCTGCTTGGGTTTCATCTGGGTGCTCCGTTTTCCTCCCACAGTTCAAAGATGTTTAGGTTAGGTGGATCGGCCAAGCTAAATTGTCCAGAGTGTCCAGGGATGTGCAGGCTAGGTGGATTAGCCATGGTAAACACAGGGTTACAGGGATAGGGTAATGAGCTGGGTCTGATTGGGATGCTCTTCAGAGGATCAGTGTGGACTCAATGGGCCAAATGGCCTGCTTCCATACTGTAGGGATTCTGTGAGTCTAAAAAAAGATGCTGCCAGACCTGCTGAGTTTCTCCAGCATTCTCAGTTTTGGCTTCAAATTTCCAACATCCACAGATCTTTATGTTCATTTCAATATTTTCTTCTGTGTATTAGTTTTAATTCATTTCTAAAGAAATTAGAAACAATCAGTCTGCAGATTAATTAAAATGAATAGACAAAAGAAAATACTGGTGATAAACAGTAAATAAACAGCGAGAGAATAGGAGAAAAATGAAGCAAAAGAGATACAAGTTTTCTTTTTATGACAAAGTTAGAAAAAAAACAATAAGTGAAAATCTGAAATAAAAGAAAATGCTCAATACCTTTTCAAAATTAAAGTTTTATTTAACTTAGGCAAAGCTTATTAGACACATGAAAGACATCATAATGTTTCACATTATGTTATGTGACCTGGTAGGAAAGTAGGTACAATCATGTTGCTAAAGGTTTTAGGCTTGCACTCATCAAGCCAAATGCAAGAATCAGAAATTTCAAATAATCACGATATATAACACAGGGAAAAGTATGTCAATTGGATGGCTAATTGATTGATTGGCTACGGTATTGTCATGGAGAAAGCAAAGGAGACCTATTGTTTATTCAAACTCCTCAGTAATTTAGAAAAGGTATGAGGCTTGAAAATATTCTTTTTGATTGCAGAGAATAGTTCCCTATGTGAGAATGTATCTCACTTCTAGCAAGCAAAATTAAGCCACATTATGAGCTTCATTGATTGTCATAACCATCAGGATTATTCAGCAAACACTGCCCAAGTGCAGAAGCACATCTAACAGTGAATATTTTGTTTTGGGTTATGCAAGCATGGCCTGGTTGAACATGTTGTGTACCTTCCCTTTGAATTTTCACAATAGGCATATGTTATTAGATTTGAACAAGCCTACATACATACCTAGCAGTTTCCTAATGGAATTTCTCCAGCACTTTTATGCATCTCACCTACACAATTCCATACAGGAGTGTGGAAATGACAACTGTTATCTACTCAAGGACTTATATTAACTTATGGAAGTCTTTTTTATCATACACTCACAGTTGTAGCTTGCTCACATGTTGAGTCTTCCTGATGATGGTGGCCTTTTGAGAGATGTGGTTAACAAGGTACAGGAAGTAGGTATATATGTTAAACATGAAAGGGTTCAGAAAAAAAATTTACAAGGGTGTTGCTGGAGGGTGGAGGGTTTGAGGTATAGGGAGAGGCTGAACAGGCTGGGACAATTTTCTCTAGAGTATCAGAGGCTGAGGGGTGACCTTACTGAGGTTTATAAAATCATGAGGGGAATGGATAGGGTGAATAGTCAAAGTCTTTTCCCCAGGGTATGGGAGTCCAAAACTAGAGGGCATAGGTTTAAGGTGAGAAGATATAGATTTAAAAGGGACCTAAGGGACAACATTTCCACGCAAAGGGTGGTGCGTGTATGGAATGAGCTGCCAGAGGAAGTGGTGGAGACTGTTACCATTACAACATTTAAAAGTCGTCTGAGTGGGTACGTGAATCGGAAGAGTGTAGAGGGATATGGGTCAAATGCTGGCAAATGGGAATAGATTAGTTTAGGATATCAGGTCGGCATGGACGAGTTGGACCATAGTGTCTTGTGCCATGCTGTACAACTCTATGACTCTACGACTCTAAGTGCGCAACTTATTCGAGAGATTCTCCTTATATATATGTGGGAGGTGGAATACCTAGCTGATCAGGAGTGGGTAGCTATGAATTTTGTTTTGCAATGTTGAAGAACGGGCGTAGTTTCTTGAATGCAGAAATGAAGACATCAGGAGTGGCTAGTAAATCTGGAAGTCAGTGGGGCAAAGATACTGCAGTTATCTGTGCATTGTAGATCATGTATGTCTGTGATGGTCAGTTTATTTTGGCATGAAGGTAACCAAAGTTAAATCTAGGAGGTAGTTAATGCTCACACCAGAGGTCAGTTAATCTTTGATGAGGTAAAAAGCCACTGTCATGTACATTGTAAATATTTTGGGGGCTAACATGCAGTCTTGTTTGTCGCAAGTCTGGATTTTGAAGGTGTTTCTTTCAGACTTTCCGTGTAAGAGGTGCCATCAGAAAACAGTTATAGGATTATGAAGAAGTTTCTTGGTCATTCAAATCTTTGGAGCACAATCCACAGAACCTCACATTACAGAGTGAGATGCTTTGATCAGGTTGACGAATGCAATGTAAAATTTCTGGTGTTGTTCTTGACGTAGTCTTAGATTTTCTTCTGGCAACAAAGGTTCCTCTGGAGGGTCTGAAGCTGTAATGTCTCTGGGAGGATTTCCTCAGCCACAGAGAGCAAGTGATTTAGAATTATTTATGCCAGGCTTTTCTCTGCTACCCAGGGATGGACAAGAGGGAAAATAGTTTCCAAAGCAAGATTAATTTCCCTTCTTTTAGATTGTTACATTTGTCTCACTTTTAAAGTTGGAAAGGTTGGTGGAGTGTTGTGATGTCAGTGGGAGTTTTGTTTTTCCTCTCAAATGTGTATATGAGTGCATGGAATCTTCCTGTGAACAGAAATCCAGCACCTTTGAAGACAGTTACTGGAATATGACCAGGAGCTTTGAAAGCTGAAGCAATATCTGCCTTGAGAGTATCAGCTGTGGATTTATGGTTGAGAAGTTATCAAAAACATTGTTTCTGTTGATGTAGGGAGTGAAATATTAAATGAGCTGCACACATAATTTGTTACATCTGGTTATGACCGCTGCTCCAACAGAGTTATAATTTTAACAAGGTGAAGAGAGTGGATTCTTAGTGGCCTCCCTTGAGTTGTAATAATTCTGTGATTAATATTCCTGAATACCAAGTACACAGGAATGATGTAGAAGTAGAAAAGGGTGGAGGCTTTGCAGTATTGATTAAGGATAATGTTACTGTTTTAAATGGGAGTTGTATTCTCTTTGGTTCCACGACTGACACAATTTTCTTGAGTTAAGGAACAAAATCAAACCTGTTACATTATTGTGGGAGTTTTTAAAGGGCCTCAAGCAATGAGGAGATAGATGACTAATTTTGTTTTTCTAAATTTCAATGGCATGAAATAAAATTAGAGGAAAAAAGGTTATCCTTGTACAGGTTATACGTAAAGAAAAATAAACAATGCAAAAGGTAAGTAGGAGAGGACAATATGATATATGTTCAGGAAAAATTCATCAGTCAATAGGTTGCATTTAATAAGCTCATTGGGGTGAAAAACACAGACACCTGTCCCAGTTAATTGTGAGAGAGCCCTGGATCCATTTCACAATGGTAGTGAAACCTCACTCAATGAAGTGGGAGAGCAGAAGAGGCTTGCCAGGAATTCCTGGCTGCCTGGGGAGCCTACTGCAATTCATTGATGACTCAGGGCTTAAGTGAGGCCACAGGGCTCTTCCACATCTTCAGACAGCTGCAGAGTAAAAGCATTCAAAGGAAGGTTCTCTCAAAATTAGGCCCTCTGTGACTGATCAAGGGACCTGACATTGGGTTGTTGGGTATGGAGGGAGCAGGAGGGTGCTGCTGGTGCTGGTAGATTGCTGCTGAAGGCCATGCTTTGGCCTTGCCTCTGATCCTTCTCAACCCCCTTCCTTCTGCAATTTCCATCTCATGATCTCCACTCTTCCCTCACCCACTATTGACCTGAGATTCCATCATAATATTGGACCCCTGGAAGATACACAACTGCCAGAAGCCAGCACCCCCACTGGAAGCATGAAGAACTGCTGGCCTCTGCTCAACCAATAGCTGTTGACAGGCTGGATTTCTGTTATTGCAGATCTCTACTGCTGGGGAAGTCTAATGTCGGCCACATAAACGCCTTAAGGGCAGTTGGTTCTCCAACTAATGTACAAGATCTTCATTAGCCTGAATAGCCCTAGTTATGTCTCCAGCACAGCAGAGAAACAGTTTTAGATCTGTTCCTGGCAACTGATGCAGATCAAGTGGAGTGTACTGCAAAAGAAGAATATAATGAAATTCAAAGAAATTATGAAATGAGTCCAGAAAATGATTAAGTTAAAAATGCACAGTTGGAGAGTAGCTACTTTCCTTAAAGAAGGAACCCAGGTTAGTCTGCATTGCAAACCAGCCATCCAGACAGCTGAGATAAATAGCACAGTGTGGATGAAGAGAGTCAGAAAGGTAGGTACATTAAAGTGGAAGATTGATTGAAATTAGATTTGAACTTGAGTGAAAGCAGAGCATTTGTGGATAATCATCTCTGAACAATATAACAATAAGCTGTGAACCTGGTACTTCACAGATGACCATGTATAGTTGTATATAGTGTTAGCATTTCAGTAAATAGAGTTTTACAGAAGCCTAAATTTGAAGACAGTTCTTGACTTTGTCATCTGCTGAACCAACGAGTCTTGAGTTCAAACTCTCAGATGTAAATTCAAACTACAAAAGGTTTTTAAAATATATATACAGACTGTTAATGCCTGTTTTTATATTTCTAGCTAGCTTTGGCTCCGACTCTAATTTTCCCCAACTCTTTTGTCATTCTTTACTGCTTTTTACATTCCAAACAGTCTTCTGACCTGCTACTAATATTTGTGAAATTGTCCATTTTTAATTTTGTACAGTAATGCAAATTGTTGGATTGGTATGTATAATTTTTTCATCTTATTTGTTATTTGTGAGTTTGGGCTCCTGGGTTTTGAGTTTGTAACCAGTGGATCTTCTTTGTGTATGAAGGTGGTAAATAACCAGTAAATATTTCTGTAGCCATGATGATTTATTTAAAAATAAAGTTTTTGAAGTCTGGCTTTAGTGTGAATGGGTTTGTGTACTTCTAAAGAATTTTTATGTCTTTTGACTGTTATTGACCAAGGACGGTGAATTAGGGTGCCTCGAAGTTTGTTAGAGAGTTCTGGAACTTGGTTTGTTTAAGCTTAAGGAAATGCTCAGTTGGCTGAATCGTTGTTTTATGATGCATAGTGACACCAACAGCGTAGGTTCAATTCCTGAACTGGCTGATGATACCATGAAAATCTTTCCTTCTCAACCCCTCCCTTGGTTAAACATGCATCAGTTGTCTTTCTCTAATGAGAGCAGCTCTATGGTCTGGTAAGATATGGCAACTTTACTTTTATATTTATAAAAGCTCTCACAATCTACTTGTATGTTCCTGGCGAATTTACTCTTTTGTGGTGGCCCTTTGATCGTTTCTAATAGGTTCCCAATCCTCAGACTTACTACCATTCTTTGCATAAGCATAATGTTTTGCATAATGCAGTGACCTAAATCTTGGAATGATAATGTCAGTGAAACTGTCTTCAGTGTCATTTCCTGTCTGAAACTGCAGCAACAATGGAATCCATGCTAGCATGGATCAATGCAGAAATCCGGAAATCTTTGGTGGTTATTCTACATTTCCCTATAGTGTGCACTGTTAAAGGTTGTCCAGTAAGCAATCAAGTGGAAATCATTGAACTGACAAGAACTTCTACATGTACACCAGTACTCACACTATAAAAAATTTTTGACTAAGTCATATTCTACTGAGCTATACTGCCACACTAAAGTCATAATTACTTTTGAATGATCTCAATGGCCCTTTAAAAATCTAATTTTATATTTGTGAAATGTCTAATTTCTCTATTATGTAAGCAAGATTCACATTTTTATTTTTGAAAAGTTCCCATGCATAACTGTAAGTATAAAAATGTGTGCTTCACTTCCTGATATTCCACCTGTGGGAATGCTTCACTATGATTAGTTGCTTGATCCAGCTAATAAGATCACTGTTACTCAATGCCGGGAGATGTCCTTGACTTGGCCCCAGATTAAATCTGATATTGGAAAAGTGGAATTCCATGCCACATGGATTGCTAGATCCTTGTTAGCATCTTCCTTCAAGGGACAGCGGTGAATACCACAAACTGAAATCCAGGCCATGCCATCCTATATTGAAGTGTATTTATCTTTTTCTAGATTCCGTACCATTTGTAAAATGCAAAAAATGTCAACAATTTTTTTTGATGGTGGGATCAAAGAAATCTCCTGAAAACAGCTACAAAGATGTAGAATTGTTGTATACAACTGATAAAAGTGAATGTCAAGTGAATCTACCAACACCGAAAGAAGTAAGCAGCATAGGTATATTTCATGTGTTGTTTCATTTGAACTTCAGTTCATTGACATATGCCTCTTAGTTCCTGGGATTTATGCTATTCCAGAGTGAGAAACCAGCTGGTGATGATTGAAAGAGACAATATGACAGTTTTATCCACTTTTGTCCCACCTATGTTATGTAGAGGTTAATTATGGTGAAAAAAAGACATTCTCTTCACTAATCCCAATGCTTTTCAATAGCAGGGATGGTCCCCAGTGGTTCTGCCTATAGCGCTATCACAAGCTTCTCCATCTAGCAAATAGCCTGTTAATTTGACTGGCTGATCTGGGTGTGAAATGATCGCACAGAGGCCGGTATCCCATCACCAAGCCACCCTTTATTTAGATGTGCACAGTATACTAGCTGTGGCCAACCAGCTCAGAGAAGTCAAGAGACTCTCTAAAACCTTTGTTTATAGCTGTCAGCCAGGGCTCCCTGATGGACCCAGTTTAACAGCCCCAAACGAGGATCTCATAATCAGTAAGATCCACCTGGTTCCAATCACTACAATGTGAAATGGAGTAAATGCATTATTTATCATCCATTTGTTAAATTCTGACTGATCTCTATGTTCCTGATATTTCCAGTTTTGTTCAGAGGGGTTTCTGAGGAAGGGTTATGCCTGACTTGAAATGTTAACTCTGTTTCTGGATGCACACCTCTGGCCAGACCTCCTGAGTTTTTCTAGCATTCTTGGTGCTTGCATCAGATTTCCAGCATCCACAGAATTTTACTTTCATAGCAGCATTTGCTTCCAGTTTCCAATTTAATGAGCTAGTATTTGACAGTTGTGGGAATTTGTTAAATATCTTTGGTTTCAGATCCATCGATTTTTGAATCAGTATGTTGTTGGTCAACATGAAACAAAGAAAGTTCTCTCAGTGGCTGTCTACAATCATTACAAACGACTCAACAACAACATTCCATCTGAAGTTGCACAGCACTCTGAGGTTTATGGTAATAGTTACCCCAATTCTTCTAAAGGTAAGTTTCATTTGATGTTTTTGATCTTTACTATTTTAAAGTGTTTCTGGTTAAACTTAATAATAATTGGCCCTAGCAAAATCATCAACTTTCAATCAATTTTGTATGAGACATTTAAATTATAAAGCTTTGCAGTTACATCAGAAAAGAATAACTTAGGTTTGATTTCTAGATTGTATTAACTAATTTAATCCAGAGTGGCAGTAAAGGTTACATGAAAGGAAAGGGAAGAAAATGAATTATGGCTATTGTTCCTGATCACTGTAAAAGTGGATGCTGCTGCTACTGCTGATGTGTTTGAAGTTAAATTGGGACCCATCTTTTTTACACACTATGCAGCCATCTGAGCTCTCAAAATAGTATTGTACGACATCCCATCTTTATAAAGTGGTTTGCATGCAAGAAAACGTCAAATCACTGCTTGCAGGACACAACCTGACAGATCATAACACATATTATGGGAAGCTGTTGCTTTCGCTTTGGAATTTCCTACACCTACCAGTGCCTTGCAAGATAAAGTATACTGTGGAATCTTACAGGGAAAAAAGTCCCCGTCTATTCACCCTCTCCCTATAACTCAATCCCTCCAGTACCAGTAACATCCTTGTAAATGGATGTTTTCTGCTCCCTCTCAAGTTTAACAACATCCTTCCTATAGAAGGGCCACAAGAATTGTACATAGTATTCTAAAAGTGTCCTCATCAATGTCCTATTCAACTGCAATATGACAACCCAACTCCTATACTCAGTGTTCTGACTGATGAGGGCAAGTGTGTCAAATGTCTTCTTCACCACCCTGTCGACCTGCGACTCCGCTTTCAAGGAACTGTGCACCTGAACCCCTAGGTCTCTTTGTTCAACAACACTCCACAGGGCACTACCATTGACTGTGTAAATCCTGCCCTCATTTGCCTTGCCAAAATGCAACACATCACATTTGTCTAAATGAAACTGATAGTTTTCTGCAGGCTTCAGTCAAGTCAAGGGTATAGCCTTCACTAGGGGCTCTGGAACAGTAAGTCAAGGGCAGTTTTCAATACTAGTCCAGGCCCAGCTCAGAATGGTCATGAACCTCTGTAGTTAAGGGGTGAGGAGCCAAAGGACAGGCAATGCAGAATCTGTCTTTACACTTTCTGGCCAATGGTGGACTGAAAGAAAGGAAATTATTACGGAAGATGAAAGTGGGTGGCGCAGCTATTACTGTATGTGCAGGAGGAGAGAAGTGAGTGATTAAGCAGTGCAGAGGGCTTGCAGGATTAGTGGTGTTGGGGATTAGAATTGGTGAGGGTGAATGGGGAAGATGTTGCAGGCAATAGTGAGAGTGGTAGAATATAGACCTTGGTGGGAGATGGCTACAGTAACAAATGTAGAGTGAGTGTGTGGTATTGGACAAAAGGAAGCACTTCTGTTGGCAGCATGGAGAAGGTCATTAAATACTTGCTAAATTGCTGGGGTTTCTTTCGGATGGTTTAGACTGCTTTACTCAGGTGGCACCTTGGACTGGGCTGGCATGGCCTGGTGTCATAAACCCCACTGTTGGTTCTGGGGGAAGAGGAAGTCCCGCCAGTGCGCTTCCCCATCCAGCAGGAGATCCAGGTCCCTGGTCACAAAGTTGGGTGCCAATTTCCCCATGTTTGACGGCTTTTCCAAGTGCACAACAGGCTTTTAAAGGTGACGCCTATGCCAGGCTTGCCATTCAATTCCAGGTCCAGTGTATGGTGTGTTGTTCTGGAAACAGCACGTAAGATGGTGTGAAAATCAGACATGACACTCACCATGCGGTTGGGAACAGCAAATTAACGGGGTGAGTTTTGTAAGATTCAGCAGGAAAACTCACTCAGTCTCAAAGAAAGAGTCACTCCACTAAACACCACACAACTTGAACCTATCTGAAAAACCTGAAATTTCAACCCATGGTGTGGCAGTGAGTGTCCTGCAATATGTTTAGGTGATATGATCGAACAGCTATCAGCCTGTGTGAGCAGTAAATCAGGAGTATGAGGATTGCTGAGTGAATGACTGGTGCATCAGAACGTATAAATGTCAGGAATGAATCTTTATTGATAGGGATTATTGTTGGGTGAATGATGGAGTTAAGTGACTTGAATAGATGATGAGGTTGGTGGTGCAGCTGGTAGGATATCCCATTAGAATTTTGAACTCACTTTTGCAACAGATACCAGGTAATTAAATTTTGTCCACGTTGTTATTCTAAGAGCTATACTGCTGGCATTGAGCTCTGGTACTTCTTCCCACTGCCACCTAAGCATATGCCTCCAGTGCCTCCTTCCCACCTGCAAATGCAGAATGCCTCTCGTTATCACTATGACCTGTAGCAAAGTCTCCAGTGCAGCATAAGAAAATCCTTGTGCCTGTCCTGTTGCATGTTGTGCCATTCTTCAGAGCATTGGTCCACAGAATCAGGTCACAAAGGAGTCATCACCACTTATTTCAACTATGACATGCTTCCTGTTTATACCCTTGTGTATCACAAGTCACTTATGATATTAAGTGCCATGCAGATCTGCAGCTCCAATTTGCAGTACACGTAGCAGCGAATACATGCTGTAATCTCTGGGACCAAGAAATGAAATCAGTTTAATGCCTACAATGCAATGAATGTGCATGTGTTAATACTACATTCTCAGTGCCTCTTTCTATGGATTATGCAACTGAGCATCCCATCATACCCAACAGCAACTCAATTTATACCTCCATGCTATATTTCCTTGTAGATTTATTGCTGGATTGAGGATTTTTTGCCAGAATATACAACATGAAAAGCACCGCTACAAAATAAAGATTTTTATAAAGTGCTCATCTGTATCTTTCCAACAGAACTGCTACAATTAACAGGATTGATTCCACCTTCACCTTATTTATCACAACAGTCATTACCAAGACGTTTCCGCAAGAATTTTGAATCTGATCATGACACTGTTCATCTAGACAAAAGTAACATCATACTGCTTGGACCCACTGGCTCAGGTATGATGAAGTTTCAGTAGTTTGAGAAATGCATTTCTAATTATTCTAACAATTTCATGTTATCTTTTTGTTTCAGTGGTTCAACATAGAATAAAGAAATTTACCTCTAAATGTAGGTTTATATCAAGTTTGAATAAAAATCAATCTGGCATGTACCTTGAAAACATTGCATTTATATGGGGGTGTCATCCCACTCATAACAATGGAAAAGCTTCAAATCTAGTTATTTACTTTGGAGTGTGAGGAAAGCAATCACTTTGAACATGGATACATCCCAGATTAGAACTGAGAAGAATGATTCATTAATCTGCTTTTGATGGTTTGGTTGAGGGAAGTATGTTCTTTAGGGGTCTGGAAGAACTTCCTGTTGTATTTTGAATGGTATTGTGAGGATTTTGCATAAAAACCCAAATCATTGGAATTTATGGACAGACCCCCTTTTAACATTTCATCTGAAACATAATGCAGCTTTCCTGGAAATGTCAGATTATCTACATGCTCAAAGAATGGTATCTGAATTTGCAACTTACAGTTTCAGAAGTAAATATCAGAAAGTATAATCCATGGCAAAATGTCATTTCTGGTTTCATTTCGGGATTGAAATTAAATCTTACTACATTCATTTCTTTGCAGTGTCATGATGGGTCAACATTTACTGACAGTATTAGTCACAAGTATATTATCATGCTCCTATGAAATGCCTTTGTCTTCTATTTTACCTGTCAGTAACCTAATTAAAATAAATCATTTAGTACCTTTATTAAAATGGTATATAGAGACATTTAATTTACACAGTGCTGCTATCAGGTGAGCATGGGCCTTGGCATCGGAATCAGCAACTGCTACATCAGGGAAGGCAACGTTGGCAAGGTAGGCCCAGTGGTGAAAGATGGTATCTGAGGATTGGCGACTTCGATGTTTGTTGGGTCTGGTGCTGGCAGTGGTGGAAGGGCATCACAGTGACATTGATGAGATGGGCCCAGCAGCAAGAAATGCGACTATGATGTTGGGCTGGGAGCAGGGGCCGGCAAGGCAGTGGCAGAGGAGAATCCACCCAGCAGTGAAGGATGGCACCAGAAGATTGGCGACTTCAATGTTGTTGGGTCTGGTGTCAATGGCGGTGAGGCAGTGGAGGGGGGATAATGGTGCAGGTGTCGTTGATGATGAGGTAGCTCAGGATTGATGGACTCTGTTAAAGCTATCTGTTTTTTTCTTATTCTTTTCTTATTCTTAAAACTGTTCAAAATGGCGCTGGATCATGGCGACAGTGGAAAAGCTTTTCTCTGTATTTTACTGTTTTGCTAACTATAAAGTACACATGACAATAAAATCATTTATTCAATCAAATCAAGGCCCTTATCACAAACCAGCTAGTCTCCCATCCACGTCCTAACCAGGCCTGAGATAGCTTGCTTCCAAAATCAGGTATTTTCAAACTATGTCCAGAGACTCCAGCAAAATTTAATGATTGCTTTATGTAACGAGCATTATGGCTGCCAGTTTGCTGTACATATCGGGGGAAGCCTGATATAGGGAATGGATTGAAGTAATTAAAGAAAGATGAAACTTATTAAATATGGATGGTGGGGTGCAAGGTACGGGGCGCATTGTATTTCAAATGGAGCTTAAGGTATAAATCATGATGGAAAGTTGGAACATTGGCAGAAGGTGACCACAAGCATGTGCCAAGCTTGCATAATGTTGCACTGGAGGTCTTGGTCCAAGAAGTGGAGAGGAAGAGGGAATTCCACACTTATTATCAGCAAGTTGCGGGAAGAGGTCATGGCACAATCTAACCAGCTGCAGCTCCTTGGAGATATTTATATTCGTGAAATGTTCTTACTTATTGACAGTTTTATTTCACAGTCAAATCTTTTATTTTATTTTCGTAGGGAAAACATTGTTGGCCCAAACACTAGCCAAGTGCTTGGATGTACCATTTGCTATCTGTGATTGTACTTGTCTAACACAAGCTGGATATGTCGGTGAAGATATTGAATCGGTTATTGCTAAGCTACTGCAGAATGCAAACTTCAGTGTCGCAAGAGCTCAACAAGGTATAATCATTTTTATTTTTGCCAAAAAGTACATCATACTCTTCTTACAGAACCTCTCCAAACAACATAAAGCTTATAATACTGTAATTGATTTAAACATGACCAGTTATGCACATTAAGCATCACAAGTAAGATGCGATTCTTTTATCTTTCCTGAAAACACTTCTGCTCATTTTTTAAAAAAATGATAATAATTATATTGCTACTAATCTGTCAATGTGATACAAACTTCAAAGTGAGATTATTGCATGTGTTACACTGTTTACAAATCTATTTAAATGTATAAATATTTAAAGCCATTAAACTTTTAAGATTGGTATTTATCAATACAGGACCAATAAGTCATAATCAGTAACATGACAGAACCTGAACGTCCTTCATATCTAAATTATGCTGATGAACCTTTTTACATTGTTATGTATAATTGTTCTGTATGTTGGGGCAGTATCCTTTTAAGAGGTGAACCACTTTGGCACTTGTAACCTCCCAACAAAATGGCCCAGATATGCTGATGGCCAGGCAGCTGATGGAGCAGCATAAACTGAAGTTGTGCAGACAAATGTGTGGAATCCCTAATACAGCTGACTCCACAGGAATTGGCCAGGAAACTGAATTTATTTTTTTGATGAAGGGTCTAGGCCCGAAACGTCAGCTTTCCTTCTCCTATGATGCTGCTTGGCCTGCTGTGTTCATCCAGCTCTACACCTTGTTATCTTAAACTGAACTTATGGACGGGCCTGGAGCTCCGTCCACCCAGAACTCTCTGAAAGAGTCTATTAAGTCAGAAAATTCAAAGGGTGCTGACTCACTTGAACTTCATAGATAACCAGCAAAGGTTTGAGGATTTAAAATCTACTCTGATTCCTGGGGAGCTATTAAACTGAACCCCTCAACTCACCCAATTATACCTGCCCCAACACCTTACACCCTTGTACCCCCAACAAACACTCGCCAGTCAGAACCCCATTTCTAAACCCAACCCTGCCAGATCTGAAACAAAAACAAAATCACTGGGAAAGCTCAGCAGGTCTGGCAGCATCTGTCAAGTAAAAAACAGAGCTAATGTTTCAGGTCCAGTGACCCTTCCTCAGAACCGACCTCCCAGATCTGACAGGCTTACTCATTACCCTGAATGGAGTCACATTACCCTCATCTTCCACTGGGCCCACAAACCTTCCCTCCATGGAATTGGGGGGAGTCATGGTGGCAGGTGTCAGGTGTTGTGTCTGGGCCATTTTGTTGGGAGGTTACACAAGCTTGTATTCTGTTGCTAGGAATTTTGAAGGAGAAGTGATGTTTGACCAAAGTTTTTATGATATTTAGAGGAACAATGGGGTGTATTAGAGAGAAACTATTTCTACTGAACAGTCCGGCCAGATCTGTGGAGAAAAGCAGAGTTAATGGTTTGGATTTTCACTGAGCCAGCAACATTTTAAAAATGGCGTTTGGATCCCAATTTTGGGTTCCCAACTCCACGTATCCCTATGATCCTTCATTCCCCACTCCAAGTTACACTGACTTTCCCAGGTTCCATGACCTTGCCATTTAGGTCCCTCTACCCATCCTCTCAATGACCCATATGCCCCATGCCAGGCTATGCCCATCTACCCACTCCTCCAATAGCTGACATGCCCCCATGCCAGACTATGTCCTCTACTCACTTGTCTAATGGCTCTTCATGCCCCTGATGCCAAGTTATGCACCAAAAATACATAATCAGTCTTGACTGAGAACCCAGATATCTATTTGAGTGCTGAAATTGCTGAACACCAGGAGTAACTGCTGAGAAGATGTTTCCCCTCATAGGTGAGTCTTGGACCAAAGAGCATAGTATCAGAATTAAGGGGCGCCAATTTAAGACTGAGATGAGGAGAAATTTCTTCTCTCAGAGGGATGTGAATCTTTGAAACTATTTGCCACAGAGAGTTTAGGAGCAGAGTCCTTGTCTACATTTAAGGGTGGATAGATTGATTCTTGCTCAGTAGGTAATCAAAGGTGATGGGGCAAGGGCGGGACATTGGACTGAATTTGGAACACGCTCGAAGGGCTGAGTTGCCTTCTCCTAATCCTCTTTCTTATGGTCATATTATGGAAAACGTTGCTTCATTGACAACCCTGGCTCTGATCTCTTCCATCGACTGCACAACGTTTATTTCCAGAAGTTAACAGAGATTTCAAGTGTCTGAAACTTTAAAGAGTCTGGATGATAAGTGCTTTCATTTCCCAGTGCTGAAAGGACTTTTTAACATTGTGGAAAGTTATGAATGAATGGCTTTTTAAAAAGCTTCTTGCTTACATATCTTATTGTCATGATAGGATTCACTGTTTCAATACAGTACATCAATGGGTATGGAAGTATTATAACTTGCTATGGAGTATCACAGGGATTGAAGGTAAGTGGAGGAGCATAGCTTAGCATGCATGGGGCATGAGGAACCACAGTGATTGGAAGATTCAGCATGAGGTGGCATGCACCGGGCACAGACATTTGTGTAAGGGTAGGGAGAGGAAGTGTGAGAACTAGTGGCACTTACACGTAGCTTATGACAGTACAAAATCAATGATGATTCCATACATGTCTGCATGTAAAAGTTCACTCTAGCTATCAGCTTTTGAGGGGAGCAAACTGCCATTCAAGGTTGTGAAATATGCTCATGCCACTCCAGGGATGGGGAAAGTTCCACCTGTTAACTGTTTCTCTCCATAGATGCTGCTTGACCCGAAGAGTACTAACAGCATTTTCTGTTTTTATTAAAATTTCCAGCATCTGCAAAACTTTGCTCTTGAAGTATTCCTTTCAGTTGGAAAGTTTAAGTTGGGGAGCACAGTTTAAAAATTATAGCCAGACATTTTTAAGAGTGAAACTAGGAAATACTTTGGCACAGGAAGGATGATGAAAGTTTGGAATTTCTTCTAGGAAGTGATGTTCGATCAATCATTAATTTTAAATCTACAATTGAGAGATTCTTTTGACCAGAGGTACCAAGGACAAACGTTTGGGGTTATATCAGAGATTGTTCATGGCCTGATGGAATGGTGGAGCAGGCTGCATATCCTAAAAGGTAGTGTCAATACAGTGTGGAGCTGGAGGAACACAGCAGGTCAGGCAGCTTCAGAGGAGCAGGAAGGTTGACGTTTCGGGTTTACACCCTTCATCAGGACTGGGGAGAGGGAAGGGAGCTCGGAAATAAGGGAGAGAGAGGGGTGTGGGGCTGGGGGAAGGTAGGTGGGATGGTGATAGATGGATGCAGGTAGGGGGTTGTGGGAAGGATAGGGCGGATCGGTGAGAAAGAAGAAAGACAGGATTGTGTCAGGACAGGGAGGCGGGGATGAGAGGGAGGGTTGGTCATGGGATGAGGCTAGGGTGGGGAGATTTTGAAACTGGTAAATTCTATGTTCAGGCCATTGGGCTGTAAGCTCCCGGGGCAGAATATGAGGTGTTGTTCCTCCAGTTTAGGTGTGGCGTCACTGTGATGGTGGAGGAGGCCCAGGATGGACATGTCACCCAGGGAGTGGGAGGGGGAGTTAAAATGGTTGGGAACTGGAAGGTGCTGTTGAGTACAGCGTATAGAGTGCAGGTGCTTCGTGAATCAGTCACCGAGTCTGCACCTGGTCTCACCGATGTAGAGGAGGCCACATAGGGATTAACAGATACAATAGACCAGGTTGGAGGACGCACAAGTGAATTCCTGTCAGATTTGGAAAGATCAACAAACCAAAAAAAAAGTAATGGTATGGTGCACTGACCTCTACATCGCAGAGGCCAGGCGCCATACTCTCCAACACCTTCTCCGACTGTCTCCTCGATTATGACCCCACCCTGATCACCAAACCGAAAAAATGGCCTCCTCCAGTTTCAAAATCTCCCCTACACTGGTCTCATCCCATGTCCAACCCTCCTTCATACCCCCACCTCTTTGACTTGACACAATCTGTCCATCTTCTTTCTCACCTTCTTTCGCCCCACCCTTCCCATGACTTATCGCCGTAACTCCCAACCTGCATTCACCTATCACCATCTGACCTATCTTCCTCCAGCCCAACCCTCCTCCCTCTATTTATTTCCAAGCTCCCTTCCCCCTTCCCAGTCCTGATGAAGGGTGTAAACCCAAAACATCAACTTTCCTTCTCCTCTGACCCTGCCTGGCCTGTTGTGTTCCTCCAGCTCCACACCGTATTGACTCTGACTTCAGCATCTGCAGTTCTTGCTATCTCCTAGTCACTGAAAAGCCTACTGCAAAGCCTCTTCTAAGGATGCCCACCTTGAAGAAGTTGTCCTTCTCCCTCCGAAAAGATCTCAGTGGATCTCTCTCCCACTGCAACCCATTGGTGATCTCCTCTGGCCTGAAGCTCCTTGACCATGTACTGAAACAAACCCATTACTACAGCCATGGCTCCTTTCTCAATACCTGCCTATGCAGCTGACTCCTACCCCATGGACTCCAAACAACTTTCAGACCATTCCAAACTGCGACAACCATTAGCTACAGTACATCTAGAACCGCCAGAAACGGTTTTCTGTGCGCATTGTCAGCTCCACGCTCGCAGTGATGTGCCGGTCTCTCCTCGCACTACAGTCAGCCCTACCCCAGCTCACAGCCTCTCTCTCCCAGACCTGCAAAGGACCTCTACTGCTCTTCATTTTACGTAGGATCCACTCCCTCAACCAACGCTTTTACTCTGCCCTATCGGACAACAAGTATCATAAGTACAGCAAACCTGCTTGTGCTTACCTCCAAGCACAGACCTCCTCCACTATCCTAGACCCCAACCCTATCCGCAACCTCATCCTAATTCACCTGGCGCCATTAATCACGCGGTCGCCTCGGCCGCTCCTGCCGATGATGCTGACGACGTCACTTCCACTGAAGCGGACAACATCACTTCAGCCAACACCGCCGACAATGCAGCTTCCAATAACGCCACTGACACTGCTGCTGACGCCGACAGCGCGCTTCCGCCAATGCAACTACGTTACTCCCATCGCCACCGACCACGTCACTCCCATCACTGCTGACCACTTCACTCCCATCACTGCCGGCTACGTCACTCCCATCACTGCTGACTACATCGCTTCCATCACCGCTGACTACATCGCTTCCATCACCATTGACTACATCACTCCCATTAACACTGCTGACCACATCGCTACTTCTGCTTCTGCCCAGGTGACTGTTCCTGTACATACACCCACTTCTGAGACAGTCTCCACCCCCACTCCCAGCTCCAGCTCTACCCCTAGCCCCACCCCAAGCCCTGCCGGGTATTCACCATCCCCCTAGACCTCCCCCTCATTGAGGATGAATGGTCAGTCCTGAGCAAAGGACTCACCTTCATTCCCCTGCCGCCCACATATCAACGAATTCCGTACACACCTAGATGTCAAACACTTTTTCTGCCGCCTCCACCTCCGCACCTGTTTCTTTAACCGTGAGTCTAACCCACCCTCTGCTGACCCCTTCTCCCACCTCCAACACACCTCATCTTCCTGGATACCACCCCATGGCCTCCTACCCTCCCTCGACCTCTTCATCTCCAAATACCGTTGTGACATCAATCGCCTGAATTTCTCCACCCCTCTCACTCACTCCAGTGTCTCCCCAATGGAGCACGCAGCCCTCCACTCCCTTCGCTCCAATGCCAACCTCACTATTAAACCCACCAATAAGGGGGTGCAGTGGTAGTATGGCGACCTGACCTCTACATCGCTAAGGCCAGATGCTAACTTGCTAATACCTCCTCCTACTGTCCCCTTGATTATGACCCCACACCTGATCACCAAACCATCATCTCCCAGACCATCAATAACCTCATTACCTCAGGAGACCTCCCACCCACAGACTTCAACCTCATCGTTCCCCAACCCCGCACCACCCGTTTCTATCTCCTTCCCAAAATCCACAAATCTGATGTCCCCGGTCGACCCATTGTTTCTGTCTGCTCCTACCCCACTGAACTCATCTCTGCCTACCTCGACTCCATCTTCCCATCCCCCCAAGTCCAGGAACTCCCCACCTATGTTCAGGACACTACCCATGCCCTCCACCCCCTCCAAGACTTTCAATTCCCCAGCCCCCAACACCTCATCTTCACCATGGATATCCAGTCCCTGTACACCTGTATCCCCTATGCAGATGGCTTAAAAGCCCTCCGCTTCTTCCTCTCCCGCAGGCCCAACCAGTCCCTCTCCACTGACACCCTTATCCGCTTAATTGAACTTGTCCTTACCCTCAACAACTTTTCCTTTAACTCTTCCCACTTCCTAAAAACTGAATGGGTCGTGATGGGCACCCATATGGGTCCAAACTGTGCCTGCCTCTTCGTGGGATTTATGCTGTTACACTGGCACTATCCCTCACCTCTTCCTCTGCTACATCGATGACTGTATCGGCACTGCCTCGTGCTCCCATGAGGGGCTTGAACAGTTCATCAACTTTACTAACACCTTTCACCCCAACCTCAAGCTCACCTGGACCATCTCCAACACCTCCCTCCCCTTCCTGGACCTTTCAGTCTCCATCTATAGTAACCGTCTCAGCACCGACATCTATTTCAAGCCCACTGACTCCTATAGCCACCTTGACTGCATCTGCTCACACCCACCCTCCTGCAAGAATGCGATCCCACACTCCCAACTTCTCTGCCTCTGCTGCATCTGCTCACAAGATGGAGCGTTCCAGTCCTAGACATCCCAGATATCCTCCTATTTCAAGGACTGCACTTTTGACTCTCCAGTGATTCATAATGCCATCAACTGCAGCTATTGCATTTTCCATACTTCTACCCTCAAATACCCTCCCCACAATAAAAATAAGGACAGAGTCCCTCTGGTCCTCACATACCACCCCACTGCATCCAGCACATCATCCTTCGCCACTTCTGCCGCCTGCAATCCAACCCCACCACCAAAGAGATATTTCCTTGCACATCCCTATATCTGCCTTTCGCGGGGACCGCTCACTCCGCAACTCCATTGTCCGCTCTACACTCCCCATGAACCCCACCACACCTGGCACCTTTCCCTGCAACAGCAGGAGGTCCTACACCTGCCCTACACCTCTCCTCTCACCTCCATCCAAGGCCCCAAACAATCTTTCCAAATCCAACAGGGATCCACCGATATGTCCTCCAACCTGGTCTACTGTATTCATTGATCCCGATGTGGTGTCCTCTACATCAGTGAGACCAAGTGCAGACTCGGTGACTGTTCGTGGATCACCTGCACTCTGTATTCTATAATCAACACTGCTTCCAGTTGCCAACCATTTTAACTCACCCTCCCACTCCCTCAGTGACATGTCCATCCCGGGCCTCCTCCAGTGCCAGAGTGACGCCACATGTAAACTAGAGGAACAACAGCTCATATTCCGCCTCGGGAGCCTACAGCCAATGGCCTGAACGTAGAACTGACCAGTTTCAAAATCTCCCCATCCCTGGCCTCATCCCATGTTCAACCCTCCCTCTCATCCCCGCCTTCTTGACCTGACACAACCTGTCCACCTTTTTACTCACCTTTCCGCCCTACACTTCCCACTGACCAATCTCCACTACCCTCTATCTGCATCCACCGATCACCATCACACCTACCTTCCCCCAGCCCCAGCCCTCCCATTTATTTCCGAGCTCCTGTCCCCCTCTCCAGTCCAGATGAAAGGTGTAAACCCGAAACATCAAATTTCCTGCTCCTCTGATGCTGCCTGACCTGCTGTGTTCCTTCACTCCACACTGTATTGACTCTGACTCCAGCATCAGCAGTTTTTGCTATCTCCATGTCCTAAAAGGCTTCTGTCCCTGTGTTTCTAAACCTGATGTAAAGTGGACAATCAGTTGGGTTGAATAGTGGGCAGGAGTTATCTGGTGATGTAATCTCAGATTAAAATAAATAAAAAATATCTACCTTTAAGGTAGTGGCCTTCAGAAAAGGTTTGCTAACTCTGGTTGGATGTATTCCTGGAGAATTCATTGCATGCCAGCCACCTCGTAATATCCTGCTGTTGGCCAGTCCATCAGACCCTTTTTTTATTGGAACTATATTTTTCCACAGCAACTGGTAAGCATATAAACTTTTCAGGATGCAATTAGATTTTTGTGGTCTGCCAAACAACCTTTCTTTTCTTGAACAACATTATGTTTTTAACTCGTAAACAAAGTACCCGAAGAAAATGCAAATAAAATTGTTTAATGCTCTGATTTTTTTTCTTCATATTTCCTTGCAGTAGTATCCTGGAGATCAATCTTCAGTTTCTGGAGGGTTGGTGCCCTGACTTCAGTCATGCCCTTTAAGAATTGTCAATTTGACAGCCAAGTCCCATAAAAAAAACTAATAACAGCATTGACAACCCCAGCTGCAATCAGCTACAAACAATCTTTCATAATGTGGTGCAGTAGTAGTGTCCCTGTCTCTGAGCCAGGAGATCCAGCCTCAAGTTCCACCTGCTGCAGAGGTGACTGCTCTTGTGATGCAGTGATTGTGTCCCTACCTCTGAGCCAGGAGCTGGGTTTAACTCCTACATTTTAAATTGGCTCTTGTGGCTCAATGGTAGTATCCTGACCTTTGAGTCAGGAAGACTGGGTTCAAGTCCCACTAGTTCCAGAGGTGTGTAATAATATTGCTGCGTAGGTTGATTAGAAAATAGGTATAAAGTTGGCAAACAAGCATTAGCCTCATTCATTGTTCATGCAAACAGACCAATGCCTGTTTCTGACACTTGCTCTGGATGCCTACTGATAGTATGTGCTGAACTGTTCCAGCGCAGAATGAGTAAGCAATTGCTCTATTTTATATCTAAAAATTGGACACAACTTGATCTACTTACTTGGCCTTTCACTCTACAAAATATTAGGTTACCAGCTCAGAGTACTAGGAGTTTGCTGGTGAACTGTGTGTAAAGTTCATTATACCCTCTAAGCTTATTCAATGTAGGGAAGCTTGCTATTATGCAAATACAGTATCTGTGCAATGTTCACATCACCCAATAGATTTGAAACAGGGAATGAGGGCAGGCCTACTTATTCCCAATCACTCCCACAATCCATACCAGCCTAATTCCCCCTTTCTCATCCTGTCCTCCCCCCTCACTTACCAGATAAATGTGGCAATAGCCCCTCATGGCTAGGAACTCGTTCACTGGCTGTCAGTGCTCAAATTTGCAGTTCTTGTTCATCTGATTCAATGTGCCTCAAGCAACAGGGAAACATTCAGAAGGACTGACCTTGGGCGATTAGGTAGTCAACTTATCTCTCAATATCTACATTGGAAGCCTGAATATCATGTGGGTCACTACTAATACCTATAATGAAGGAGCCATACTCAATACATGTGTTGCAGGCTGCAGTGTATGTGTGTGATATTGAGACAATACTGTTTTTGAATATTTATGTATGTCTCTTTTATTCCACAAGGAATTGTGTTTCTTGATGAAGTGGATAAGATTGGAGCAGTTCCAGGAATACACCAGCTTCGTGATGTAGGAGGAGAAGGTGTGCAGCAAGTGAGTGATAAGAAAGATTTTCATGACGAGACAGGTAGCTTGAATCAGAGGATTTCTCAACTCAGCAGAACAAAGTGGTGTGTTGAAGTGGCGGGCAAGTGGGAGCTCGTTGACCTTCTTACAGACAGAACGTAGGTGTTCTGCGAAACGGGCACCCAGTTTACGCTTCGTTTCCCAATGTAGAGGAGACCATGTTTGTGGTCATGTGGGGCAAAAATGGGGCATGTTTGAAACAGCACTAACTTCAAATGGACCTGCTAAGATTGGATTTCCTTCCTGTCTGAGCCACACCTCAACCCTTTCCCTTGCTGGTGAAAATAGGATGTATTGAAATGAAGTAGGGTCTTCCACATTTGGGCCCTGCCTTTCATTTCTAAAGGTCTACACAGTTTTCTCAACCTGAAAATCTGCCTTGATACATAACAAGGTAGCAGAGAGCCATTTCTGTCAGACCATAATTCATAGGAGCAGAAGTAGGCATTCAGCCCATTAAGTCTGCTCTGCCGTTAATGAGAGCATAGCTGATCAGAGGATCCTCAGCTCTACTTTCCTGCCTTTTCCCCATAGCCTTTATTGATTGAAAACCTGTCTATCTCAGCCTTGAATATGCTTATTGACCCAACTTCTGCATTCCTTCATTACCCTCTGAGAGACAAAATTTCTCCTCAGCTCTGTCTTGTGGATGACCCATTATTCTGAAATTATGTCTTTAGTCCGAGGCTCTCACATTACCTTTCTACATCTACCCTCTTAAGTCCCCTAAACATCTTATATATTTCAATAATATCATCTCTCATTTTCCTAAACTCCAGTGAGTACTGGCCCAATCCACTCAACCTCTCCTCATAAGACATTCCCTCCATACTTGGGATTAGCCTAGTGAACCTTTTCTGGACTACCTCCATTGCTAATATATCTATTCTTCAATAATGGACACAAAACTGTTCACAGTATTCTAGCTGTGGTCTGGCTAGTGCCCTGTATTTGAGCAAAAACTCCCTACTCTTAAACTTCATACCTTTGAAATAAAAACCCACATTCCATTTGCTGTCCTTATTCCCTGCTGAACTTAGAGGCTAGCTTTTTGTGATTCATATACAAAATGATTTTCCCTTCATGAAGACATGTTGACTGTGCTTAATCATATATATGCCTAAATGCTCTGTTATTTGATCCTTTATACTAGAATCTAACATTTTCCCAATAATACTGATGAATTAGAATTAGAATTAGCTGTTATTTTCGCATGTACTCCCTCGTATGAGTAACAGTGAAAAGTTTGCAAGCTGCCACTTTCTGTGCCCATCTTAGGTACAAATGTACCTAGGCACAGAATCTTAGTGTAAAGCAGAAAAATAAAGAAAGCAAGTTAAGAAGTTAAACATTGCAGTCCTTCTTACTAAAGCGTAGAAAAACAAAGAAACACAGCTAATAGTTCCACATCACAGTCCACAAGCGCCTGGCCATGCTAGGCTCGCACTCCTCACAAGGGCTTGATCTCACCCTCACCGTCGATCACCTTGGAAGCTAACTGTTTATCCATTTTAAAATAAAGGTATTACACTAGCAGTTTTCCAATTGTCTGGGACTTTTCCAAAGTCTAAGGATGCCTGCAAGATTATTACCAGTGCATCTAGCATCCTGGGTGCTAAATGTATTAATATCGTAAGATGCATCCCATCAGGTCCAGGGTACTTATTGGTCTGTAGCCCCATTAGTTTCTCTTTCACTTTAATGTAATTGATCCTGTGGATTTCTTGCAGAAATAAAGCACAGACCATAAGATTTATAGGCCAGTTGAGAAGAATATGTGGATGTACCTACCAAAGAAGGTGCAATACTTGACCTACTATTGGGAAATAAGGCAGGGCAGGTGACTGAGGTGTCAGTGGGGGAGAACTTTGGGGCCAGTGACCATAATTCTGTTAGTATTAAAATAATGATAGAAAAGGGTAGTCTAGATCTCAAAGTTAAAGTTCTTAATTGGAGGAAGGCTAATTTTGATGGTATTAGGCAAGAACCTTGATTGGGGGCAGATGTTTGCAGGTGAAGGGATGGCTGGAAAATGGGAAGCCTTCAAAAATGAGATAACGAGAGTCCAGAGAAAGTATGTTCCTGTTAGAGTGAAGGGCAAGGCTGGTAGGTGTAGGGAATGCTGGATGACCACAGTAATTGAAATTTTGGTCAAGAAAAAGAAGAAAGCATTTGTCAGGTATAGACAGCAGAGATCGAGTGAATCCTTAGAAGAACACAAAGGTAGTAGGAGTATACTTAAGAAGGAAATCAGGAGGGCAAAAAGTAACATGAGATAGCTTTGGCAAGTAGGGTTAGGGAGAATCCAAAGGGATATTATAAATACATTGGGGACAAAAGGGTAACTAGGGAGAGAATAGGGTCTCTTAAAGATCAGCAAGGCCACCTATGTGTGGAATCGCAGGAGATGGGGGAGATACTAAACAAGTATTTTGCATCAGTGTTTACTGTGGAGAATGATATGGATGATACAGAACATGGGGAAATAAATAGCGACATCTTGAAAAATGTCCATATTACAGAGGAGGAGGTGCTGGACATCTTAAAATGAAAAAAGGTGGATAAATCCCTGGGACCTGATCAGGTGTACCCTAGAACTCTGTGGGAAGCTAGGGAAATCATTACTCGGCCCCTTTCTGAGATATTGATATCATTGATGGCCACAGGTGAGGCGCTGGAAGACTGGAGGTTGGCTAATGTGGTGCTGCTGTTTAAGAAAGGTGGTAAGGAAAAGCCAGGGAATTGTAGACCAGTGAGCCTGATGTCAGTGTTGGGCAAGTTGTTGGAGGGAATCCTGAGGGACAGGATTTACATGTATTTGGAAAGGTAACGACTGATTAGGGATAATCAACATGGCTTTGTGCATGGGAAGTCATGTCTCACTAACTTGATTGAGTTTGTTGACAAAGTAACAAAGAGGATTGATGAGGTTAGAGCAGGGGACATGATCTATATGGACTTTAGTAAGGTGTTCGACATGGTTCCTCATAGTAGATTGGTTAGCAAGGTTAGATCACATGGAATACAGGGAGAACTAGCATTTGGATACAGAACTGGCTCGAAGGTAGCAGACAGAGAGTGGTGGTGGAGGGTTGTTTTTCAGACTAGAGGCCTGTGACCAGTGGTGTGCCACAGGATTGGTGCTGGGTCCATTGCTTTTCGTCATTTATATAAATATTTTGGATTGAACATAGGAGGTATGGTTATTAAGTTTGCAGATGACACTAAAATTGGAGGTGTAGTGGACAGCGAAGAAGGTTACCTCAAAGTACAACGGGATCTTGATCAGATCAGCTAATGTGCCAAGGAGTGGCAGATGGAGTTTAATTTAGATGAATATGAGGTGCTGCATTTTGGAAATGCAAATCAGGGCAGGATTCACACAATTAATGATAAGGTCCTGGGGAGTGTTTCTGAACAAAAAGACCATGGAGTGCAGGTTCATAGCTCCTTGAAATTGGAGTCTCAGGTAAATAGGATAGTAAAGAAGGTATTTGGTATGCTTGCCTTCATTGGACAGTGCTTTGAGTATAGCTGTAGGGAGGTCATGTTTCGGCTGTACAGGGCCCTTTTGGAACACTGTGTGCAATTCTGGTGTCCCTGCCAAAGGAAGGATGTTGTAAAACTTGGAAGGGTTGAGAAAAGATTCACAAGGATGTTGCCAGGGTTGGAGGGTTTGAGCTAAAGGGAGAGGCTGAATAGGCTGGGGCTATTTTCTTTGGAGCATCGAAGGCTGAGGGGTGACCTTTTAGAGGTTTATAAACTCATGAAGGGCATGGATAGGGTAAACAGACAAGGTCTTTTCCCTGGGTGGGGGAGTCAAAAACTAGAGGGCAATGGTTTAAGGTGAGAGGGGAAAGATTTAAAAGGGACCTAAGTGGCAATTTTTTCATGCAGAGGGTGGTGCGTATAAGGAATGAGCTGCCAGAGGAAGTGGGTGGAGGCTGGTACAGTTACAACATTTGAAGGACATCTAGATGGGTATCTGAATAAGAAGGGTTTAGAGGGATATGGGCCAAATGCAGGCAAATGGGATGAGATTAATTCAGGATATCTGGTCAACATGGACATGTTTGAACGAAGCATCCGTTCCCATGCTGTACATCTCTGTGACTCTATCACTAATTGAAAAAGTAACAACTTTCAACAACTACATTTTCCCCAGTATTTGCCTAGATAAATTTTTATGCAGCAGACTATGAGAAGAAACTACAACCACAAGATTTTAGAGGCATGTAAATAGGAAACAATAACTTTTAAGATAATTGTAATTAAGTGATATTTTTACAGCTTAAGTTTTAAAATTTTTGTTACTTGCACATTTTAGGAGAGATTTTCCTGAGTTTCCTTCCCAGATACATAAAATCAAAAACCAATAAAAAATATCTGAGATTTCAGTCTGTTCGTTTAAACATGGGGAAATCTTGAAAGTTTCAATTGTGGCATGTTCAATGGTCTGTTGATTTTTTTTTCGTTATCCATTTACTCAAGTAATCCTAGGCATAGACCCAAAAATCTTAAACAGTAGAGATATTTAATTATTTGATTTGCTGGTTGATTTCTCATTGAAAGCCAAGTAACAAATAACCTGGACATGACAGTTTGTGCACTCGTCAGGGGTTAATGTACCATACTCAAGGTTTGAATAATAAAGCCTGCTAGTTGACAAATGTGGAGTAAACTGTAACCATATCCATCCTAGAGATATACTACAAGTGCCCTGGAGTTAAGGGACATCTTATCTGAAAGCTCATGAAAGAATTCGTATTCTTCTTATTATAGCTCTACTGCTACAAATAGATATGGTCCTTTTGAGTGAAAGGCCACCCTACAATGAAGGACAGGACTAGAGTATTCTGATGGAAATTACATAATTTTTACAGAACAGAAATATTGGTTTGGAAGGTCCATGTTGGTGTTAATGCTCCACGTAAGCATCATTCCATGTAAGTTTATCTGCCCCGATCAGTGTGCCCTTCTATGCCTTTGTGCTTCATGTGATTACCTAAGTTTCCCTTAAATGCATTAATGTTACTTTCCTCAACAATTCTTTGTGGATAGCAAGCTCCAAATTCTAACCCGCTTCCAGGTGAAAAGAATTCTTCTGAATTCCAAAATGGATTCATTAGCAATTATCTGAGACTTACTACCCCTCTTTTTGAACTAACTTTAATTTGTGCCTCAACTTTCTTCTTTCTGGAGAAAAGTGTCCCAGGTCATAAAATCTTTTGTGATAGATGTAACCTCTCAGTTCTGGTATTGTTTCAGTAAATCTCTTTTGCACCTTCCCCATTTCCTCAATATTCTTTTTATAATACACACACCAGAACTATGTACAGAAGTAGCAGGCTGCTGCTTCATCTATGCACAAAACCTAGGAGCAGTTGAGGAAGAAATCTTCCAGACTCAGGAAAATTGACAAGGTAACAACTGCTCAGATCTTAGTTAATTTTATCATCTGGACTTATAAGGTATTTTAATTATTCTTCGGTTTTGTAATTTGCAATATATAGTGCAGAGAACCTGAATTACAATTTCAAGGGCCTGCCATAGCAAACATTATAATGGTACTTTTTTTTCAGGGTTTGTTGAAAATCATGGAGGGAACAATCGTAAATGTCCCAGAAAAAAACTCGAAGAGATATCGTATGGATACCATTCCGGTGGACACTACCAACATTCTTTTTGTTGGTTCAGGAGCTTTTAATGGACTAGAGAGAGTAATCAGCAGGAGGAAAAATGAAAAGGTCCTTTCTTAATTCTGCAATACTAAATGTTCTTTCCAATATTCATAGTAATTTGTTTGACATGTCTTGGTGGTGATTCTACCAGAGTAATTCTCATGGCCTATATAATATCTAAAACAGATTATTCACAGGTTTAAGATCTAGGTTTAAGGTAGGGTGGATTTTAGCACTTAGATCAATGTAAAAGGGTCTGGACTCCAGATGTTGGAGTCCTCACACGAGAGTCTTATTTGAGATCCATCATGTAATCACTGCAAGTGTGTTTGGTGAGAGTGCTTTGAAATTGCTACAAGAAACAAAATATAATTATCTGTTATCTCTAGGTCTACTTTTCTCTGACACAAGTTTGACTTTTCCTCTTCTCTTCCATATAGCATATGAAGTGACTTATTTATTTCTTTGCACTTACATTCAACAGTCGGTGCTCTGTGTTGTTTCTATAGTTAAGACCCTCTTTTATTTTATGTGCCAGGTTGTTAAAGACAGAAGAGAAGTTAGATTCCATGAGTGTTAACACACTGACCCCATCAGACAGAGACATTCCACTGGATGTCAACTCAGAATACAAACACTGGAACTGTTGTCTCTTTTTACCTTGGTTTCTTAAAATTACCTTCTGCAAAACTGATCCCACCATCTGTCTTCCACTTTTTGAACTTATGTCTCACAGCTTTGCATGACACTAGGTCCAAGGCCCCCATAGTTGGTTGCCTGCCTGACCTGACATTTGGAAAGGTACATGAATAGGAAAGGTTTAAAGGGTTGTGGGCAAATGCAGGCAAGTGGGACTAATTTAGTTTGGAAAACTCAGTCAGCGTGGACGAGTTGGATTGAACGGTCTGTTTCCATGCTATTTGACTCTATGACTCCATGATTCTAGGTCCAGAAGCTCCCACATTCATAGCTTCAATACAATGCCTGTTCCACTATTGTCTATTTGCCAATTAGGTAAATGTAATTTATTAATTTAATCAATCACATTAATTGCTATTCTTAAACACAATTTTGCTGTATTTATTAAATATTGATCTCGCTTAGAACTGAAAGTAATACATCCTTAAATAAACAGCAAATTCTCTTAGGTATCTGTGTTAAGGTTTTAGTGTTTTCTTTTCATAGATCTTCCCTAACTCAAGTGTCCTTGGGGAATCATTTTACACAGTTCATTATATTAAGGATTTTATAGCGAATCAGCTTCTCACACCCCTGTTTTTACCACACTTGTTTTTTTTCTAACCTTTTTTTTTCAAACTGAGTGCATGCACCAGCTCCCAGCAGCTAATGTATTCAGAAATATAAAGATACACCTTCCTCCACTCCACTGAACTTCCACACTAACCAAACTCCTAAACTTTCCACTCAATGCCTATATTGCATCTGATGCCCAAAACCTTCTTCAAAAACAGTCATTACCTAAGATCTTCCCCATCACCACTGCCAGTCACTCATCATGCCAACAGCCCACTGGAGGAAGCACCAGATGCCCTGCAGCCATTTAGCCACTAATTGGCTAGAAGTGACATTTCTTCCAATCAGGAATAGGAAGCCCTATCTCAGAGCTGCTAGCCATTGGGTGTGTTAATGAGTGGATATCCATGGAACTATATTTTACAGAAGAGGAAGGAAAAGAAAATGAAGGGGAAATATTATGTTTTTTCAAGATGAAAACATAAAATTAAGATTACAGACATTCTTAATTTGAATAAAATCTACCGTTAAAAATAAATAAAGTTGCTATAATTTTCTACCAAGTACTTGCCATGAGATTTATAACATTTTGAAAAGATTATCTTTAATGTTCTGAGAATTCAGCAAACTTGCTTAATGTTAACAAACTGTTGCTTGGTCATAAATAACTTGAACATTGTTGAAAAGAGAGGCATGTCGCTGAAGTTCTTCATCTTACTCTCATCAGGACAAATGCACACAGCATTAATGGTGGGGCAACAATTCTCAAAGTACATGTGTGCGATGGGCAAATGCACCCCCATGAGACCCAAGATCACCCTGACAAAATCATTCATGGGGGCATCAATCAGAGAAAATTTGCCCTGTAAATTGTATGGATAGAAATGGTGAGCAGTCACTCCTTCACTCACAGGCTGGTACTGCCTTATGCTTGCTACTGATCGGCTCACCAGTAAACTAACCAGCAACAAACACAGGAGAAAAGAAACCTGAGAATGTAGGAGCCATGATCAGGATATGTAAGAGATAGAAAGAAAGAGTTACCAGGGAAACTTTTCCCCCAGACCACGATCAGGAGCCATCATTAACTGAGTCTGGGATCAGGAGCAGCCATTTGCCAAGTTCTGTCAAATGAGTCAAGGGTCAGTGAGCAGCAGGGGTGGAAATGGGAGCTGAGGAGATGGCTGGAAGTGGCTTGTGGGGACAGTGTGTGAGCTCCAACAGGGGAAGGAGACTGAAATGGAGAGGGAACAGTTTCAATCTGTCAATAAAATACACAGCTAACTGGGATCCAAGAAAACTGTGAATTACTGAGGTAACCAGTTCCTTACAAATGTATGTAGAATATCTAGTTCTGGTTCAGGAGCTCCCATACTTGAAGAAAATGTGAATTTTACTGTAATGAATACTGCTAAAATTAAATCTGGGATTGAGATCTGAGATGCAGTTAAAGTAAAGGGAAGTAGCTGCCTGGTTAAAATGATCCAGATTTCAAAATATGTGCTGGAAATGCATTAGCTTTGACCTCACTAATCTGTGGAAATTGATTTAAGATGATAACTTTTTGTATGTTGAAGTATGTGTCAATTATTCTTTAAGAAGTTTGTTGAAAATTTAAATACCATTGTACCTGGGGAATTAGTGCTTTCCTTGCTTTATGTTTATTGGCGAGTTCCTTGTTATTGACAATGTTGATAAATTACTCTAAGTACCCCATATGACAACACAGATACAAAATTGTTGCTATGTGACTACATCACCTAATAAAGTTGTCAAGGTAAAGTCACCATAGTCTGCAATGGGGCTGCTCTCATTAGAGAGAGAGAGACATCTAGTGGTGGTTGAACCTGAGGGTCAGTACACCTTAGGTGAAGGGAGACGTTGAGAAGGAGAGTGCTTCATGGTAACTTCAGCCAGTGCAGGAATTGAACCCAATCTGTTGGCATCACTCTGCATCATAAACAAGCTGTTCAGCCAACTCAACTAACTAATTCTATTACATAATAATTAAGTTAGTGAGAGTGATAAAGTAGCCTCCAAAAACTAAAACGTACCCTCCAAAAATCAACAAGTAGCCCTCCAGAAAATCTCATGAGGCGCCCTTGAAATAAAAAAAAAGCTGTGCAAAGTTAGCAGTAGTGAAAGCACTTGACGTATGTGAGCCTGAAAGGATTAGCAATTGGTTGAGTGCTGTAAGCGCCACCTATTCTCATGATGTCACTTGGAATTGGTCAGAGTAAAGAAGACACTTGTAGGGGATGGACCTGAAACTGGATTGCTTCCAACAATCTCTGCAGTAATGGAAGTGATATTCACTTAATTTGCAAATTGTTTCACTAATACAACAAATTGAGGTGGAATTCTTCAATTTAGTTCAAAAAGGTGGATATCCTAGCTCAAACTAGATCACTTCAGGCTTGAAGGAACCCATACACCACATTGGGTTTCCTGTCACAATGCAGGTGAGCAATGGCAATAGCTGCACCTTCTTCCAACTTGTTTTCTCACTGAGCAGATTTCTGATTGATAGATGAAGAATGGAACCCATTCTAGTGAACACTATTAACAGTTTATATTTATTTACAAAGACATGGTTTTGCAGGACAGTATTAAAACATTCTCTCAGGCCCCAGTACCATGTGATCTGACATCATGTGACACCACCAATAATGTGTTCCAACTAGTAGAATAACCATTAACACCTTATGTTGCAGAATATAATCAAGTGAGTTCATAATCCAACTCTTTTTACACTTGCTGGAAAGGTATGCTCAGACGTAAGGACTCGTTCTGTGCAAACAAAAAGAATATGTTCAAACCTTGCACTTTTTTTAGAAATTATCTTGAAGCATGCGAACCTATAGTCTCCTTGTTCTCTGCATGATAATGCCTCTGCTAATCAGAGTATTACTTAAGTGGAGCAAATTTGCAACACAAAGGGACTTGGGAGTATTTGTCCATGAAATGCAGAAAGCTAGCACACACAAGTGCAGCAGGCAATCAGGAAGGCTAACGGAATGTTGGCCCTTATTTCAAGGGGGTTGGAGTATAACAGTAGGGAAGTCATACTGCGACTGTACAAGGTGCTGATCAGACCACACCTGGAGTGCTGTGAGTAGTTTTAGTCCCCTTGTTTAATGAAGGATATAATTTCATGGGAGGCAGTTCAGAAAAGGTTCACTAGGATGATCCCTTGTGTGGACAGATTTTCTTATGAGCCAAGGTTAAACAGGTTGGGATTCCACTCATTGGAATTTAGAAGAATGACGGATGACCTCGTTGAAACATATAAGATTATTAAGGGGCTTGACAGGATAAATGCTGAGAGGATATTTCCCCTCATGCAAGAGTCTAGGACCAGAGGGCATAGTCTCAGAATTAAGAGGTGCCAATTTAAGACTGAGATGATGATGAATCTCTTCTCTCAGAGGGTGTGAGTATTTGGAATCCTTGCCATAGAAAGCTGTGAGCACAGGATCCTTGTGTATATTTAAATCTGAGATAGATTCTTGATCAGTAGGAGAATTGAGGGGCTGAATGGCCTAATCCTGTTCCTATTTCAAAGAACAGTAATCAAAGTCTACAACCAAATCAATCACCAGCCCTTAGCTCTTGAAATATGTTATGGCAATTGTTTAAAACATATATTTGTCCTAATCATAGAATCCCTGTAGTGTGGAAACAGGCCCTTCAGCCCAACAAATCAACACCAACTCTGAGAGTATCCCACCCAGGCCCCCTATAACCCACCTAACCTACACATCCCTGAACACTACAGGAAATTTTTCACGGCCAATCCACCTAGCCTGCATATTTTTGGACTGTGGGAAGAAACCGGAGCACCCAAAGGAAATCCACACTGATGCAGGGAGAACGTGCAAACTCTACACAGACAGTCACCCAAGGGTAGAATCAAACCTGGGTCCCTGGCGCTGTGAGGTAGCAGTGCTAACCACTGAGCCACCGTGCCGACCCAAACATGTGCTAAAAGAAAGCTTTTAACAATGTCTCTCTTTTTGACAGTATTATCATTAATATTTTCTTAATTTAAACTGCAACCTATTTGAATTTCATATGTTCAGTAAAGCTCTTAAAAGCAAATGTAAATTAAAATATTCTGTTTTCTCACTCAGTACCTAGGATTTGGTGCAATGTCTAGCCTGGGCACTGGCCGTCGAGCTGTGGCCTCAGCTGGCCTGGCTAATTCCTCAGGAGTGAATATACAAGAAGAGTCCCAAGAGAGAGACAAATTGCTTTGTAGTGTGGAGGCTAGAGACCTGGTAGAATATGGAATGATTCCAGAATTTGTAGGACGATTTCCAGTGGTTCTTGTGCTTCATAGTTTAAACGAGGACATGTTGGTTCGTATTCTGACAGAACCACAAAATGCAATAATAACGCAGTACAAGATGCTGTTTGACATGGATAAGGTATGAAGAAACTTGCTTGACATGATAAGATGTGCAGAAAACAGAAGTAGAAGTCCAGGCCTATAGAGCTGCAGATGATTAAATAATTGAATGGTTTAGTTCTGACTGTATAGCTCACAGTAAAACAAAAATGGAATTAATCACAATTACATAAAACACTGTTTTGCAAAGCAGAGGTCTGCAGCTGATAAAAAGAAGTGTTGACATTGTTTGAAAGCAGAACTATATGCTGCCAGAATTTGTGACTCAGAATCAGAAAATGATTGCAGCAGAGTGTACCATTTAATCTATTATGTCTGTGCTGGCTTTCTAAGGAACAATTCACCTAGTACCACTTCCTTTTTTCCTCATAGTCCTGTGATTTTTTTCCTTTTCAGATAATAATCCAATTTCCTCCATCCATTTTGGTAGGAATTACAGCAAAATGGACTATGTTTTAAATGGTAAAAAATTGCAGCACGTTGCTGTGCAGAGGGACTTGGGTGTCCGTGTGCATGAATCGCTAAAAGTAGGATTGCAGGTGCAGCAGGTAATTAAAAAGGCAAATGGAATTTTGTCTGTCATTGCTAGAGGGATGGAGTTTAAAAACAGGGAGGCAATGCTGCAGCTGTATAGGGTCCTGGTGAGGCCACACCTGCAGTACTGTGTGCAGTTTTGGTCTCCTTACTTGAGAAGAGATATGCTAGCACTGGAGGGGTGCAGAGGAGATTCACTCGTTTGATTCCAGAGTTGAGAGGGTTGGATTATGAGGAAAGACTGAGTTGACTGGGATTATACTCATTGGAATTCAGAAGAATGAGGGGAGATCTAATAGAAACATATAAGATTATGAAGGGAATAGATAAGGTGGAGGCAGTGAGGTTGTTTCCGCTAGCAGGTGAAACTAGGACTAGAGGGCATCGCTTCAAAATAAAGGGAAGCAGATGTAGGATTGAGGTCAGGAGGAACTTCTTCACCCAAAAGGTTGTGAATCTGTGGAATTCCCTGCCCAGTGAAGCGGTTGAAGCTACCTCGCTGAATGTTTTTAAGGCAAGGCTAGATAAATTTTCGAACAGTAAAGGAATTAAGGGTTATGGTGAGTGGGCGGGTAAATGGAGCTGAGTCTCAAAAAGATCAGCCATGATCTTACTAAATGGCGGGGCAGGCTCAAGGGACCAGATGGCCTACTTCTGCTCCTAGTTCTTATGTTCTTATGTTCCTTATGAAAGCCTCATTTGACCCTGCCTCCATCACACTTCCAGGCATTTTATTCCAGATTCCAACCACTGACTGCATGGAAATGTTTTTCCTCATGTCGCCATTACGAGAGGGAGAGTTTGTTGAGAGGAAAACAAATTGTGACTAAACACCTGCAATCATTTGAAACAATTTAACTACATCGATATTAAACTGTAAAAGCAGAAACCAAGTTGTTAACCTCTAGACAGTAGAATGCACCTATTGATGTGAGCAAGCATAGATCTTTAGAGATGCCTTAGGATATTTAGTTCCTTCAAATAAACAAAATTAAAGAAATAAAGTTGGGATTTCTCCCAGTAACATGACCAACATTTATCCTCAGAGGTAGCAAGAACTGCAGATGCTGGAATCTCTCAGACTCTAATATTTGTCCTCAACTAGGACCGCTAACACAGATTATCTGGTTGGTCTCCCATGCTAATAGTTGAACCTTGTCTGCCTTACAAAATGACAACACCAAATGTACTCCTTTTGCTGATATCTGAATATGTGACATACACTATATAAAAGTAATTATGTCCTTTCTCTCACTACAAAATGTTTGAAGTCACTCAACAGACCATTCTCTGCTGACTAACACCAGTGATTGGAATATATCAGTGAAATTGCAAGAGTATGGTTCTTCGTGTTTTTAGAATCAGCATATTTGGGAAGTCCACAATTTGATTTTATATTGTGATATTGTGATCTGAAATGAATCATTTCATTACATGTCATTACATGAAATACATATTCAAAAACATTGCTGATGGCAGACAATGGGTCACGCTTAATGAGAACATAATTACTGTGCAAATTAACTGAATAACTATATAAAGAAACATAGACCATGTCAAATTTATATTATCTCTTATTATAGTTGCTGAGCAGATTCAGTGTGTAGAGCCTGCAGTTATTTATTTAGTTGGTAGCCCTCTAATCTTACCAAGAGTTGGATTTACTGTATTGCATTTCTTTATTGCAGCAGAAAATCTTACTTGAGATTTTGAAAAAAGTCACAAATTCTGGCATATGTCTCACAATCTAGGGTTTGCTTTATGAACATCAGTTTTTATTGGCAATATTTCTGTTATGAGGGCATCTATTTAATGGATGGGTATTTCTAAATTATGTCACTGATTGTAGAATGACTTTACTACCATAATTTGCAAAACACTGAAATTCTGACACAAAGGATCCTTAGTTTTAATGGAAATTGCTAGCCACCCTGGCAGGGCTTCTGATCTCACATAAGGAGTAAGCTGCACTCTCCTTCGCAAGTTTCTCAAGTAGCAGTGACATTTAGTCTATCTTCTTGACATGGATACCAGATGAGAAAGTGTTTACTCTTTTGTTCTGAAGTATATTCAAGCAATTAAAAAGTATCTTCCAAAAATGAGGTACAATATGTTGTTTAACATTAACATAGATGATTTTAAAAAGTTGAACCTAAATAACACGACAGCAGTCATATAAGAATTTTCTAAGAAGTCTTCTTGGACCATTTATTTCAGTGTCAGTTTTCTATTACGGAAGCAGCTTTGCGTGCTATTGCGCGTAAAGCAATTGAAAGGAATACAGGGGCCAGAGGATTGAGATCAATCATGGTAAGTTTATTTTTACTGAGCTGCCTGTATTTAATTAAGCTTTCAGTCAGATTTTGGATGTAAAATTTTAAACATTTTAGTACCTAACTCAAAACCAGTCATGGTAGATCCATGAATAATCAGCCATAAAAAAAATGCAAAATGTTTTTCTTGACCTCTGTTGTAAGATATCACATCAGACTATAACAAAGACCCCGCTCAGAAGGATAGATGAACTATCGCAATTTCATACTTTGTTTTGTTACACACATAGGTGATACATCAATACAAGTGGTTGCTGTTGTTGTTGTTGTTGTTGTTGTTGAAGTGCTGTCGGCTAAAATGGTACTTTAATCAGAATACCTGGTATGCACGTTCTGATAGAGACATAGAAAACTTATGACATGGAAGGATGACATTCAACTTATTCATTTTGGTCTGAGTAACATTTGCTATGGAGAGATATGTGGCATAATCAGATGACAAGTGTGGTGATGTTGGATATTTTATGCTTTTCACAAGTGATGTGGCAGGATTCTTGATGGGCAGTGGCGAGTTGCCAATCGATGGGTATTAATGTATGTTAAACACCTTGTTAACAGCCCAACTTGCCTCATTAATATTCATCTTCCCTTATATTTAGATTTTAAGTGTATCAAAGGGTATGGGGAGAAAATGGGAATATGGCATTGAGAGTGAGAATCAGTTCTGATCATAATGAATAGTGGAACAGGTGCGAAAGGCCATTGGTCTACTCCTTCTCCTAGTCTCTATGTTACCAAACTTGCTAAACAAGCTCAACATTAGGAAAACTTAACAAGGAAACCAAAGCAAAGCCCTGATGGATTCAAGTCGCTATTTGCTCTGAACAACTTCCATGTTAGAAACATAGAACATAGAACATAGAACATTACAGTGCAGTACAGGCCCTTCGGCCCTCAATGTTGCGCCGACCTGTGAAACCAATCTGAAGCCCTTCTAACCAAAACTATTCCATTATCATCCATATGATAGGGCACCACATCTCAGGGTATGCCCCATGGGCACTGGCGACATGCATCCTGTGTAAACACACATTGGCATCTGACATGTGCCAGCCTCGAAGATGCCTTTATGAGCCTCATGGATCATTTCTGATTACTTTCAGGATATCTCTGCACTTCAATGCTTCACACTGGGCTACACCAACAACTCTCATTGTAATGCAGCAGAAAGGACACATAATCAAGGACATTTATCCGACTCATGAACTGGACCAAACTGCATCTCCAGGCTCTTTGATTGCTATCGTAGCACTCATTCATTCTGAACATACCTGAAGTTGACAGTATCCAAGCCTTGCATTGCCTTGCCCAGCTGATTTGTGCTTTGCCTTCTCAACCAAAGCTAGAGACTCATTTTATTGCTGTCTTACCTTGCCATTTGTTGCATAAATAAAACCAAGAAGTTTGTCATCAACCTTCAGTTAAGTCAAAGGGGATAGCCTTTGCTCAGGGAGATCTGGCACAATACATCAAGGGTGGCCTCTCGTACCAGTCCAAGCCCCGCTTAGAGCAGTCTGAGACTTGATCCTCTCCTCAAAAGGAGGTTTTCATATTCATTGACAGGATGTGAATGTCTTTGTCTTTAGCTAGGCCGCCATTTATCGCCCACCCCTAATTGCTCAGAGGGCAACTAAGAATCAACATTGCTGCGGGTCTGGAGTCACATGCAAATTAGACCAGGTAAGGATTGCAGTTTCCTTCCCTGAAGGGGATCAGTGAACCAGCTGGGGGCTTCCCCCTAACAATTGGCAACAGTTTCATAGTCATCATTAAATTCCAGATTTTTTCTTTGTATTGAATCAATTTCCACCATCTGTCATGGCAGGATTCGAATTGGATTGCCTGATTATTAGCTCGGTCTCTAGATGAATAATCTAGTGATAATACTGCTAGGCCATCGCCTCCCCTTGTGAGGAGCCAAATGATAGGCAGGACAGCAACCGTCTTTATTCTTTCTCCCCTGTTGTGGACTATTTCCTCCTTGAATGACAGAAAGGCAGGTATTAATCAAAAATATAAAAACAGACACTAAATTTTTATTCAGATGTTTAAAAACAAAAGAATTAAGTGTGTAAGTGTTGGCCCTGTAGAACATGAGTCTGGAGAATTAGTAATGGAGGATAAAATGATGACAGACATGTTGATTTGCATTGATCTTCACTAGAGAAAATACAAGTAACATCCTGGAAATAGCTGTAAATCAGAAATTGAAAGAGACAGAGGAACTCAAGAAAATTACAATCACCAGGGTAATATTACTGAGTAAATTGTTGGAACTGCAAGTTGACAAGTCCCCAGGTCCTGATGAATTTCATTCTAGGCTCTTAAGAGAAGTAACAAGTGAAACAGTCGATGAATTAGTTTTAATTTTCTAAAACTCATTGGATTTTGGGACAGGTCTTTTAGATTAGAAAACTGCTCATGTAACTCCTTTATTCAAAAAAGCAGGGAGACACAAAGCAGGAAACTGCAGGCCTGATAGCTTAACATCTATCATTGGGAAAATATTATTAAGCTATAATCAAATATATTGTAAGAGGGCACTTAGATAAGTTCAAGATAATCAGGCAGAGCCAAAATGGTTTTGTCAAGGGGAAATTATATCTATTTTATTACAGTTCTTTATAGAAGTAACTTATGCTATGGATAAAGGGGAACCATTTGATATATTGTACTTAGATTTCCTGAAGACATAAGATGTCCCATCAAATCAAAGTTCATGATGCGGGGTGCATCATACTGGCATAGATAGAAGGTTGGCTGGCTAACAGGAAGTAGAGAGTAGGAATAAATGGATCTTTTTCAGGCTGGCAGGATATCCTGAGTGGTGTGCCACAAGGGTTGGTGCTGGCGCCTCAACTTTTTATAATTTATGTAAATAATTTGAATGAAGAAACCAAGGATAAGGTAAATAAATTTGCTGAAGACACAAACTTAGATAGGTAGGAAATTAAGTTATGAAAAGAACATAAGACTACAAAGAGATATAGATCTGTTAAGGGAATGGACAAAGGTCTGGTAAATGGAGTACAATGTGGGAAAGTGGATATTAGTCCATTTTGGCAGAAAGATTAAAAAATAAGCATATTATCAAAATAGCAAGAGATTACAGAGCGCTGAGATTCAGAGAGACCTGGGTGTCCTAGTGCATGAATCATAGATGGTCAGTATGTGTGTACAGCAAGTAATCAGGAAAGCTAATAGAATGTTCTGTTTTATTGCAAGGGGAATTGAATGCAAGGACAGGGAGGTTATGCTTTAGTTATATAGGACAATGGTGAGACTACATCTGGAGTACTGTGTACAATACTGGTCACCTTATTTACAAAATTTGTTCATGCATTGGAAGATGTTCAGACAAAGTTTGCTAAACTAATACCTGGATTGAGCAGCTTGCCTTCTGAGGAAAGGCAAGACAGAAGAGGCCTGTAGTTGCTGGAGTTTAGAATAGTCAGAGGTGACTTAATTAAAACATATAAGATCATGGAGGGACTTGACAGGTGGATGTGGAAAGGATATTTGCTTTTATGAGAGAATCTAGAACTAGAGGTCATAGTTTAAAAACAAGGGGTTGTCCATTTAAGACAGCAATGAGGATTTTTTTTTTCTCCCTGAGGGCTGTGTGTCTTTGGAATTCTCTTCCTCAAAGGCAGTGTTTGCAGAATCTTTGAAAATGTTTCAGGCAGAGGTAGATACCTTGTTGATTACGAAGGGATGACAGATTTTTGAGGGTATTCAAGAATGTAGAGTTGAGGTTAAAATCAGAGACAAAAATAGAAATTGCTGGAAAAATTCAGCAGGTCCAGCAGCATCAATGGAGAGAAATCAGAGTTAATGTTTTGGGTCGAGTGACCCTTCCCCAGACTCTTCCCTTGAACTGAAACGTTAACTCTGAATTCTCTCCATTGATGCTGCCAGACTTACTGAGCTTTTCCAGCAATGTGTATTTTTGTCTAAATTGCAGCATCTACAGTTCTTTCAGTTTTTATGAGGTTAAAATCAGATCAGCCAAGACATTTTTCAATGGAAGAGGAGGCCGAGCTGTTTGTTGTTTGTATATTCATATGTTTGTATTATGTGAGATGAAAGTGGATGTCACCCCTATTCCTGTTGATGCAGGTGGAGAGGTGTCCTGAGTGAGTGAGTAGGCAGCACAGAGAGCATGCAGTGTTCATGGTGTAGGTGTAAGTGTAGGATGGAGTGGGTGTCAGCAAGTAGGGAAGATGTTGCAGACAGTAGTGAGAGTGATTAACTGTAGTGGTGTATGAGGTATTGGAGACAAGATTCCAGCACTTACACTGGCAGAGTGAAGAAGGACTTCTTCCTAGTGTGCTGGGCATTCCTTCAGATGGTCGAGGCTGCTTTAACCCAGGTGCAACCTCGGACCAGGCTGGCATGGTCTAGTGTCTTGGCTTCTACTGCTGATACAGGGGCAGGAGGAGTCCTGCATCAGCATCAGCCTGTCCAGCAGGATTCTAGGACCCTGCACGCAGTGTGGGGTGCCGATTTCCCCCTGTCTGCTGTAACCCAAGCAAATAGCAACAGCTATACAGGACGGTTCTGGACTGACAGTGCTTGTCCAGATGACAACAGGTTTTTAAACATAATATATTCGCAAGCAATGCCAATGGACATGCAATCCAGGGTCCTTTACATTTCTCAGTATTGTAACATTAACTTTTTATTCCCTTTCTCTACCTTTCCCAAATGCATTGCCTCACATTTCTCAGGATTGAATTCCATTTCACATTTTCTGCTTATCTGACCATTTGAATGATGTCTTCCTGCAGTTGATGCTATTAATGACACAATGAATTTTTGTTGCCATCTACAAACTTCTTAATCATGTCCGCTACGTCTAAATCTTAATCAAAGATATACACATTGAAAAGCAAGGGTCTGAGTAGTGAGGCCTGCAATGCCTAACTGTAAACAGCCTCCCAGTTTTAAAACAGCTGTCAACAATTCATCATTCATTGGTCATCCCTCGCAGATGAGGATAATTGTCTTCTACTCTCAGGGTGAGTGTCCAGGTGGCTGTGCAACTGATGTGGCTACCGCAGGATCTGTTACATTTGGGACCGATGGTGGTGACAGGAAGGGATGTGTGGGGACTTGGTGTGGCAGCGCGCTCCTTTCGCTGTTTTCGCCTGGCCTCTGCTTTGTCCAGATGTCAAATCTCGAGGTGCTCAATGCCTTCCTGGATGCTCCTCCTCCATTTTGGATGGTCTTGGGCCAGTGATTCCCAGATGTCTGTGGGAATTCTGCACTTTGCAAGTGAGTCCTTGAGGTTATCACTGAAACACTTCCTCTGTCCAACTGGAGCTCCCCTGCTGTTTCAAAGCTGGGAGTAGAACCATTCATCATTACTTGCTGCCACTGAGTAATCTTTGGATCCATCTTACGACTTTCCATTGGATTCCATTTTACTTTTACTTTTCTGACAAGTCTGCCATATGAGTCCCTGTCAAAAGCCTTGTTAAAGTTCACTTAGACTGCATGAAACATTACTTTATTCAACAACATTCTCTATTACCTACTCAACATATTCAATGAAGTTAATCAGACGTGACCTTTGCTTTACAAATCCATGGAAATCCAAGATTAATCAATACCTTTCCAAATATTTATTTATATTACAGGTCACAATTTTGCTTATAGCTAATTTTAAGTTTATGTTGATCTTCTAAAATCAGAAAAAAATGATCAGGATATTTCTGGTCATCTTCAGAAATACCAAAGAGTTTATTCTCTTAACCGTTCTAGCCCTTCAGTGAGAACTTCTTTGACGGTCTGTCATTCATTTACTGATCCAGGAAATAAAGATTTAGCCTTTCTTTAACTGCCAATAGATTGCCTGTCCATGGTTAGATGTTTACTTCTGCTATGTTTACTATATGATGTTTAAGCTTCAGTATAAAAACATGCAGTGTAATGTAATTCTTTTTTTGTTTTAAGATCATTTTGACTTCTCTATTTTTCCATTATTATCTGTTATTGGTATTTTAAAATTTACAGACTTCTCCCAGTAGGGGACATTCACACCAAAACAAGAAGCAGTGATGATGTCCCATGTATGTTTTTATTATTTTCATATGATTTGGAAAAGAAAATGGTTGAATTGACCAAAGTTTGGATCTAAGTAATACCTCTTTGCAGTGTCAGGCATTTTTTTCTGTGTTTGTTTTGTGTAGTTTGTTCTCAAATCACTTTCTTACATTAGAGCCATCTTTCACCATTTTAAGCTGCCTTTCTTAAAAAGAGTGACAGAGAAGTATGGTACCTCCTTGTGCTTCGCCACAAGTTTCCTGCCTTTAATTTTGTTTTCAGCACTTTAGTCTTGTTTGTAGTTATAACTGCAGCCCAGAACTTAGAGAGAATGAAGGATATCTGCTAGGAAAACAAAATTCTGCCGTATCGTTATCACCTTTATGAACCATTTGGGATTTTTCTTCATTTTACTTGTACATTTTTTATATCTTCTTTTATATCTTTTATATATTCTGCCTAATTTTATTTTTAAAGCCAGACAGGTCTTAATTGACACCACTTCCAATAGATCTGAATTAGCTCAAGTGATCATTCATTGATTGCGAATTTGCCACTGGTCAAAAAGCAAGCAGACTCTTTTTATTTCCAGAAGCATTTTTCTTTATTTATTCTTCTAGTTCTTACCTGTTCAATTAAAAAATAAGCTGTCAACTGAAGGTTTTCTAAGGTGTGTTGCTCCCACATTGAACAATGACATGTTGTCGAGCTATGCTGGGCTTTAGGGAAGAAGTAGCATTTCTTCAGCCAATGTTCGGGCATGGTATGGCATTAAGGACAGGTAACCCGTGTAGCTTGATTTTTGTAGCTGCAGTTATAGTGATAGTCAATCAGAGAGGTAACACATTTACAAATGTGAGTTTGCATTTACATTGAAGTGTCACTGTGTCACCCATGTGCCTTCAGAAGCTGTTCTTTTTCATTTCCCACCTACAACATGCACTGTGAATGGCTGTTCATGGCTGGCAGTGACCTGGTACACAATTGAACTTTAAACATGGCACCCACAGCAGATATCCCAGGATGTCCTGGTAGTGGCGAGCACTCCTGCTATTATTGAGTACGTGGTCATGAAAGTGCAGCATCATAGAGGCAAGGTCCATATATAATGAAGTGAGCAGCAGTGAATTTCATGAGATAACTCCACAGAACTCTCAGAGAAAAACCCGAAATTGAAACTTAACCAATTTTTGGTAAACATCAGCCCAACAGCTGTGGAGCATTTGTGGAGAGAGAAACTGTTAACATTTCATCATTTCATTTCATCAATATTTCATCAGATGAAAGGACACAGACTTGAAATACTAATTTGGTTTCTTTCTCCTGAGAATGTCAGGCAATTTAATTCTTTAAACAGTTACAAGTGTCGCTGGCAAACTGTTAGACAAAGCAGATAGGAGTCAATACGTTGCTGGTCTGGTAGACGAGATGTCAGCTAGACCAGGTAAAAGCCGATTTCTGTCCTTGAAAGACATTAGTGAACCAGATTGTTGCAAAAAAGATCTATCAATGATAGATTCATAAACACCATCGCAGAAACTTACTTGCAATTCCAGATTTTATGAATGAATTTAAATTCTACCAGCTATCATAAGTTGGAATTGAACCATTGCCCCATTAGCCTGGGCTCATGGAGTACATGGCCAGTGACATTACCAATTCACCACCATTTCCGCAGGTGCTGAGTATTTCTTCCTTTTTCTGTTATTATTTCACATTTCGAGCACCTGCAGTGATTTGCTTTTGCACTGATAAGTAATACTACTTTCATGTTAAAACTTAAGATTCAATCCCAGAAACGCTCTTACATTGCAAACACACCTCATAAATCCCAATATGATATAACATTTTGACTGACTCCATTATTCTTCATTTCAAATGTGTTATTTGAGTTTTATATTCTGTCACATTTCTTCTATTTCATTCATTCTTTCTGACCACATACGAGCAGCCAACTGAGGTAATAATCGGCCTGCTGCCTAGTCTTCACGAATGCTATTTTGAAATGGTGCAAAATATACTCCAAGAGTGTGCACCAGGATGAGCTTTCCGATTTTATTTCCTCTCTGTGAAGGAGGAATTGGGTTCCTTTAGTAACATCAGTACTGCTTGGCTCTAAAATCAATTTGTTACTCTCTGATTTTGTGTATTGAGCCTATTATCTCAGTAATACACAACCAGAGCACCATTTTTTAATGAGAGAGGGGTTTTCCTTCTATACCTCTGATGTCACACTTCGTTATCATATTAGTGGTCTTCACAGTTTTTTGAAACAACATAACTGCATTTAAGTCTGTGTGATATTATATTTGCCCCTTGAACTCTTTAATTCTCCCCTCCTCCAAAAATTGCCTTCCTGCCCCATCACCAGCTGAGAGGGCAGGAAGACTGTCTTTTGAATATCACAGTGTTCACCACTGAATTGGCAAGACTGGGTACCTTCAAAAATGGATTTTTGTTCCTTTTCTAGTTGTCCATAACTTTCACCAATGTGGATACAATGAACCCACACATTGCATTTCCACCTGGCCGGCTTCACAGTTGGGATAGGCAATTCCTAAACCCCTCCAATTTTTGTGTAGTTGGGCCAGCTTTTCAAGAGCTTGTGTTTCCAGCCATCAGCCGTATTGGAGAGGAAACCTTTTTGCTGACTTGAGCATGCACCCATCCCTAGAATAAATGTCAAGACGGAAATGCCAAACCTGGAAATTTCTTGACTTATACTTCTTGCCACTAATGTAAAAGTGAAACCCTACATTCCTTTTATGTCCTGAGTGAGATTAGAAACAATGTGTAAAAAAGATGGGAATAAACAATATTGTATTCCTTGGTTCACTGCATTGAAGTATTAACCATATATTGTGCTTCAATTTGGCTTTCTGTGGTTACTGCACTTCCATTGTTTCTTTTGTTCATGGGATGTGGGCATCACTGACTAGGCAAGTATTTATTGTCCATCCCTAATTACCCTGGAGGAGGTGGAAGTAAACTGCCTTCTTGATCTTCTGTAGCCTTGCATTAGATACTCCCACAGTGCTATTAAGAAGTGAGTTCAAGGATTTGGACCCAAAAAGGAACAGCAATGTGGTTGCGTGTCAGGATGGTGTGTGGTTTGGAGGTCTTGCAACTGGTGGCGTTCCTATGTATCTTCGCGTTGGGAGATGTCATAAGTTTTGAAGATGCTATTGGAGGAATGCCATGCATCTCATTTGATGGGACCCACAGTTGCCAGTCTGTGTCGGTGGTGAAGGAAATGATGTTGAAGGTGGTGGGCAGGGTGCCAGTCAAGCAGGCCGCATTGTCCTGAATGGTGTCACGTGTCAAGTATTGTTGCAAGTGCACCCATCCATGCAATTGGAAAATATTGTATCACACTGCTGACTTAGACTTTATAGAAGGTGGACATGCACTGAGGAGTCAGGAGGTAAGTTACTGAAAGCAGAATTCCTTGCATCCAACCTGCTCTTGCAGCATGGTATTGAATGCTCAGTTTGTGGTACTTCTCAGAATGTTGTCAGTGGGGTTTCCAGTGAAGTTAATACAATAGAAAGCCAATTTGTGATGGTTACATTCTCTTGGTACTTTTGAGACACACTTATTGCTACTTATCAGCTCAAGCCTTGATGTTGTCCAGGTCTTGCTGCATATGAAAGAAAGCTGTTTCAATGTCTGGGAGTTAATGCTGATGATTGTGCAGTCATTAGAAAAACAATCCAACTTTGGTCCTCATAACAGAGCGAAAGTCATTGCTAGAATAGTTCGCACTGATGCTTATCTGCTCCAAGGGGCAAGTAAAACGACTTAACTGCAAAACCTTCAAACTTAATAAAGTCTAGCTAAAGTTACATTTTTGAAGGATAATTTTGTATCCTTTTATTTCAGGAACAATTACTGATGGAACCTATGTACGAGATTCCTAACTCAGATATTGTAAGCTTTCATGTGGATAAGGATGTTGTTGAGGGTAAGAAGGGTCCCCAGTATGTTAGGTAAGTTTCTGTACTTGTATCATCTAGATTGTTGCGATTAGACAAGCAGGCAAAAAAATCATAAAGTTATGTTAATATTGCACCCACATTGTAACTATTACAAATTCACTATCAAAATAGTCAGAATACTAACATCTCAGTCAATTCTGGTCTGTATTCCTTGCATATACTATGATTTATTTTGTCTTATGTATAAAGTTAAAGATTACTGTGGTGTCAGCATAGATCATTGATAGCTTGGTAACAGGTATTTTCTTTAACATTACACAAAGAGAAAAATATATGCCAACTTGACTATTATACTGCTGAACTTCAATTCTAATTGGCAGCGCATTCCTTATAATTTTTTTCAATATATCTGTTCTCAATGATCCTATTTCAAAAAAGAAGTGTAAGGAGCCCTAACTAATAATACTTAACTTTATACTAATGGCACTTGTGTTTTAAGGTGCATTTTCTTAGCTTCTCCTTTCTATTGCAATGTGAACTGAATTACAATAATTGATTCTTACAGAACACCAGCAAACCTTGAAGACAACCACAAGTTTAGTCGCCATGATCATGGCTGGATTAAAAGAATTGATACCAACAAATGATCGGCCACATATTGAATATTGCTTGGGTACAATATGAAATACTGTTTTGGAGGATAAGCTGAAGCAAGAAAAGCTCATTTGTGATCAATAAATGCGAGATGTTAGCACATATTAGCTGCTTTTAGTTTATTTAACCTGGGACGGGCATGAACAGTGTTGTGTGTAAATTACTACAAGCTACCTTTAATTCAACTACATAAGAAAACCCACAATCAAATACTGAAAGAATCACTTAAACTTTATTGCATGTAGCAACCAAAATAAGACCCCTCAAGAAAGCAAGTTAAGCCTCACAACCCAACTTAACTATTAACCAATTAATGGTGGAATTTAGCTAAGATTCCAACCAGCAGCATCTGTCTCTGGATGTCCAGGGTTTGATCGTTGTGCAGTGTTGCTTTATGGAGTTCTGCTGCTGAAGAACCTTTATGTTGAATTCTTATAGGATTTTATGTCTTGTTAAGTTTGTGGTGTAATGTTATTTATGACACTTCTGAAGTTACCGAGTCTGTAGCTTACTTTCTTATCAGGAGTAGCTTCCTTTTCCTCGTTACATTTGGTGTTAGCTGTCTGTTCAATTCATGTGCAGGCAATTTTAATTGCTCATTTGTCACAAAGCAAAAAGTTATCAAGCAGCTGTTAAAATAGATTGTTTATGAAGATTTGACCCCTAATTTTCCCTGGAATGGCTAATTGCTTTCAATTTCTTTAGAACAGTTTGTCCTTGTCCTTTGATCTCAGGAAAACAATTTATTCCAGAAAAGGTTATTGCTGATTCTTTCAATCCATGAACAGTATTGTACTGTAAATTTCAGAACTTAAGGGGGGTGTTGAATAAAAATGATAAAACTTCCTAGAAAATAATATTTAAGCATTTTCCTTTATATCTGCCAAAGGCAATGAAACAAAACTTTGTTGACTTACTTTCATTAATAAATAAGCTAGTAAAATATTATTTAAGATAGATTAGTTCCAATATTCAAGAATGCACACTTATTTTTCATGACACCACATATGAATCATAAGTGAAATTATTTTGGCTTATTATTGTATTTTTGGCACTATGTTTGTACAGAAGCACAGTTCTGTATTATGAGCAATCTCAAACAATATGGTGCTGTCACCCTAGCAAATAGTTTTTAAAAAATTTATTTACAAACATCAATTATGTCTTAAATATTGTCAATATATAAATAATTGTACTAAATGTGCAATGTCATTATGGTAAAAATAAAATAAACATCTAGTTCTTTCTTGTCTCAGATTGTTTTCAAAATTAGGTCCAAAGTTCCATTGCTGCAACTGTTAAGGGGCAGAACTTGTGGTTTTCCATGACCATCAGTGTGGCCTTGAAAAAGTGCATGTGAAAATTTATTATTTTCTAATAATAATTACAAGACCTCTGCCTCACCACACACTTCGTCTTTAATGGTCAAGTATACAAACAGATCAACAGTACACCAATGGGGTCACCCATCTCAGGACTCATTGCAGAAGCAGTCATGCAAAGCCTAGAACATATCACCGTCCCCCACACTCAACCTAAACTGTGGATCCATATGTAGATGACATATTTGTCATTATTAATCGCAACAAATTAGAAGAGACCCACCACCACATCAACAGTGTATTCGCAGGGTTTAAATTCACAAAGGAAGAAGAAAACACCATCAACTTCCGTTTCTGGTTGTTAAAGTTGAGCGTATGACCCACAGGAAGTTCCAAACCTCAGTACACAGAAGAGCAACCCACACTGATCAAATCCTCAACTTCCACAGCAATGACCCAAATGTCCACAAACAAAGCTGCATTAGGACACTATTTAAACAGGCCATAACTCACAGCAACACTCCAGAACTACGCAGGAAAGAGGAAGGGCACCTATACAAAATCCTCTCTATAAACAGATATCCCCGCAACTTCATCCACAGATGCTTACTAAACAGACAACAGCAGGAGGACACAGCACACCCTAACACACTGGCCACACTGCCCCACATCAAGAACATATCGGAACTGACAACAAGACTCCTAAGAACACTACGAATCATGGTGGCCCACAAGCTCAAAGCCACTCTACGACAAACACTTACAAGGATTAAAGACCCCATTCCCACAACATGCAGAACCAACGTGGTTTACAAAATACCATGCAACGACTGCCACAAACATTACATCGGACAGACAAGAAGGAAACTAGCCATCAGAATATACGAACATCAACTAGCAGCAAAACGGCACGACAAACTCTCCTTAATATCAGTACACTCAGACAATGAAGGCCATCAGTTTAACCGGGACAAGGTAACCATAATAGCCCAAGCCAAACATAGACATGCATGGGAATTCCTAGAGGCATGGTTCTCCACCGATAATGCAATCAACAAACATATAGATTTGGACCCCATATACAAACCTATACAGATCAAAATCGGAAATGACAGTACTCACCATAATGGACCGGACAGTATAAATTCCAAGTGGAGTGGAACAACATTGCTTCATTGGATGAAGTCAACTAGCATCGTGATGAAATGTCTGAACAAGAACAAGCCAGCTTGACGAGTAAGTCAACAACCTCACCCACAATCCGAGCTACAGATCTTTGCCAAAACTTTAAAATTTATTATGTTTTAAGAAGTTGATATGAACAATATTCTGAGTTTAATAAGGACTGATGAGTGTCCACGAGTTAATTGGTAGGAGTTTTGCTGGCCTTTTCTTTTATTTGTTGTCACCACAAGTTTACAGACCGTAAGAAATTGAAATAGGAGTAGGCTGTTTGGCCTGTTGAGCTTGCTCTTCCAATTTGATAGGATCATGGCTGATATGACATTCCTCAAGTCCACTTTCCTGCTTTCTCCCCATAACTCTTGATTCCCTTACTGATCAATGCTCTATCTGACCCTTGAATATGCACAAGCCGTCTGCCTCCACAGCTCTCTGTAACAAGGCATTCCAAAGACTCACAATCCTCTGAGAAGAGAAATTCCTTCTCATCTCAGTCTTAAATTAGCACCACTGAATTCTGAGACTATGCCCTGTGGTCCTAGAGTCCTTCATGAGGGGAAATATCCTCTCAGCATTTACATTGTCAAGTCCCTTAAGAATCCTATATGTTACAATGAGATCACCTCTCATTCTTCTGAACTCCAATGAGTAGAGTTATAACGTGTTTTGCGTTAGCTCATAAGACAATCCTTCCAAACTGGGGATCATCCGAGAGAACTTTCCGTGAACTGCCTCCAATGAAATAATATCTTTCTTAAATAAGGGGACCAAAACTGCTCACAGTACTCCAGATGTCAAATCACCAGCTTGATCACATTTATTCCCTATCTCTATTTGCCCAGAAGCCAGCTACGAGCTAACCACATGAAGTCGCAAGAAGGCCAGACCAGGTTAGGAATGCAGATTTCCTTTCCTAAAGGACATTAGTGATCCAACTCAGTTTTTACAACAATTGGAGATTATGTGTTTGCCATTACCTAGCTGGTTAATTCCAGATCTTTTAAAATTTGAGTTCAAATTATACCTTTGCCATTCTCCAGAATGTTAGACTGGGGTTCTGAATTACTAATCCAGAAACATTACCACTATGCCACCACCTGAATTGAATTGAATCATTTATTGTCATGTGTTTTCAATGTAAAAATACAGTGAAAAGTGTGTACCTTCACCGTACATATATGGTGCCATTCACATTAACTTAGAATAAGAAAAAAAAGATAACTTAAGAGAGTCCAACTTTCCTTTCATTGCCGCAGTCCCACTCTGGGCTTTCCAGCCTTCACCGTGCCGCTGCCAGCCTCACGCTCTGGGCTGCCCCACCAGCCTGCTCTCACAGCCCACTCTTGATCCACCGCCGACGCTTCAACTCACGCTCAATCCGTTTTCACTGTAGGACACAACCTGCACATTCAGCTCCCACCACATTGTTCGCAGTTGTGACCCGGCTCCTTCCCAACTCCTTAGGTAGGTAGCTAAAAGGGGTAGAGGGTGTGGGGCTGATAGAATGACTATACCTCTCCACAAGTTGGGGGTTTTTGGGGCATAACAGACAAAAAAAAGCTCTTGGAATAGAAGAGGGAATTGGCAGTCTGATTGATACTGACTGGTATTTGCAGATCTGAATTTTGGGGTGGAATGCAGCAAAACAACAACTGATTCAACTTGTATTAGTACAGGATCACAGAATTGTCACAGTGCAGAAGGAGGTAATGTGGGCAATGTGGCTTGTTGTGTCAGCGCCGGCTCTCTGACAATTTTGACATGCAGCTAATCTCCCGACTTTCACCCATAAACCCTATACATTAAACAAAAAGATGCTGGAAATCTCAGCAGGCCAGGCAGCATCCATGGAGAGAGAGAAAGCTGATGACTTTTCATCAGAACTGAAGTGAAGTGTGGAGGGGACAGCATTTATGCAATAGTGGGGGGAGGTGGTTTGTTAGAGTGCTGGGTGAAAAAGGATGTTGATACTTTCAGGTTAAGTATTGGAATGTGAGAATGGCAGAACAATGGTGTGTCACCTATGTCGTATCTGTTCGGATGATGCCACCTTCCAAAACAGTGCTGCTGAAACAGCTTCCTTCCTCCATAACTGCAGTTTTCCACCTACTGTGGTTGACAGGGCCCTCAACTACATCCGACTTATCACCCGTGCTTCCGCGCTTGCCCCTTTCCATCATTCACAACACAGTGATCGGGTCCCCCTTGCTCTCTCACATTTCATCCCACCAGCCTCCACATTCAAAAGATCATTCTTCACCATTTCAGACAACTCCAGCAGAATGCCACCATCAAACACATCTTCCCCTCACTCCCTGTCTGTATTTCCCAGGGATCATTCCCTCTGGGACACCCTAGTCCATTCCTTAAACACCAATACCACTCCCCCCTTCCCACAGCACCTTCCCATGCAACCACAGAAGGTACAACACTTGTTCTTCACCTCCTCTGTGCTCACGATCCAAGGGCCTAAACAGTCTTTCCAAATGAAGCAGCA